ACGCGGAAAGCGAGACCGGAGGAGGGCGAGATTACAGCAATGGAGTTCTCAGCATAAGCAAGCATGGACTTAAAACCGATGGTTTTGAGCAAAGAGGCCAGTCTTGGTATGTTTCTCTCATTTGTTCAGCATTGCTTGGATCTTTATTTTTGCATTTTCATCTTCAAGTTAATCATCCTGTGAAACCTCGAGTGAGTGAGTATTTTAGGAGAAGATGCATAAATTGAAAGCGTAAACTTTCTGTGGTGAAGCTCGTATCTCTTTCTTGCAATATATCATTGATGTTAAAGCAAGTTACTTATAATGTTTGGTGTGCTTGTCCTGTAAATAGGTATGTTGCAACTGATATCCCAAGTGACTTTTTAGTTCAAATTGGAGATGTTAATTTCCATTTACATAAGGTAGCTGCCATCCTATTCTAACATTTTTCTCATTTCTCAACTTGTGTACATAGAATTACTAATAACGGTTGTAAAAGGGTTGGGGTTAGATGATATACTAATTCTTTCTCTCGTCTCTCAAGTATCCTCTGCTTTCTAGAAGTGGCAAGTTGAACAGAATCATATATGAATCACGGGAAGACCTGAACAAGATAGTTTTAGATGACCTCCCAGGTGGACCTGAGGCTTTTGAGCTTGCAGCAAAATTTTGCTATGGGATTGCTGTTGATCTGACAGCAAACAATATCTCTGGCCTTAGATGTGCAGCAGAGTACCTGGAAATGACAGAGGACTTAGAAGAAGGCAATCTAATATTCAAGACAGAAGCTTTTCTCAGCTACGTGGTTTTGTCATCATGGAGAGATTCTATACTAGTACTTAAAAATAGTGAGAAGCTGTCGCCATGGGCAGAGAACCTTCAAATTGTCAGAAGATGCAGCGAGTCCATTGCTTGGAAAGCTTGTGCTAATCCAAAAGGAATAAGATGGCAATATACAGGGAGGCCCCCAAAAGTATCTAGCCCTAGTTGGAATGAAATGAAGGATTCCAGTCCAAGCAGAAACCAACAAGTGCCACCTGATTGGTGGTTTGAAGATGTTTCGATTCTCAGGATTGATCACTTTGTACGTGTTATTACTGCTATTAAGGTAAAGGGGATGAGACATGAACTAATTGGAGCTGCAATAATGCATTACGCAGCTAAATGGCTTCCAGGACTAATAACGGAGGGATCAGCAGCAGCTGATGAGGGAAGCAATTACAGCCACGCTAATGACATAAACAGAAGTTGGAAAGGGGGCTCCATATGATTGTAGCAGGGACAAAAGAAGATATACCAACTGTTCAGGCTAAGGATCAAAGAATGATTATTGAGAGCCTTATTAGCTTAATACCTCCCCAGAAGGACAGTGTTTCCTGTAGCTTCCTTCTTCGACTGTTGAGAATGGCAAACTTGTTGAAAGTAGCTGCTGCTCTGGTTACTGAATTGGAAAAGAGGGTAGGCATGCAGTTTGAACAGGCTACATTGGCAGATCTTCTCATTCCTTCATACAACAAGAGTGAAACTTTATACGATGTTGATCTAGTTCAAAGACTACTGGAGCATTTCCTTGTCCAAGAGCAGACAGAAAGTTCAAGTCCTAGCAGACAATCATTTGCTGAAGCACCCCAAAGGGGTACAAATCCAAATGCTAAGATGAGAGTGGCAAGGCTGGTTGACAGTTATCTAACAGAGGTGTCCAGAGATAGAAATCTCTCCCTAACGAAATTTCAGGTCTTGGCAGAAGCTCTACCTGATTCAGCAAGAACCTGTGATGATGGACTATATAGAGCTGTTGATTCCTACCTGAAGGTAATTGAAATTTAATTTCCGCGATTTTCTAAAGTAACTATATTTTCATTGATTTTCTGTGAGGAGATCTGTTCATCACCAATATATGGTGTTAAAACAGGTTGGTCCTCGAGCTGACGAGCTCCTCAAAATAAAATATTTTGTGTGATATGGTCTTTTTATAAAGCATGCATCCGTTAAGAATTATGTTAAATGGATAAGTATAGAAGGAAGACAGGGCCAGAGAATAGTTGCAAAATCTTTAAATTCTAAGTTAAAACAAACGTCGATATTTATTCATGCATTGTGAAGATCAAAGAGAAGAATTTCAGATGAAAAATTTACAACACAAAATTAGAAGTTATGAACGAGTCACTATGTGCCTTCATAATAATGCTCAATATGCCGTTTACATTATTGTTTCAAATATTGCATATAATGAAGCTCATCCAAGTTTACTTAGAATCTAACGCATTGAAGCATTGATAGGCCCATCCAACACTATCAGAGCATGAAAGGAAGAGGCTTTGCCGTGTAATGGATTGCCAGAAGCTCTCAATTGATGCATGCATGCATGCTGCTCAGAATGAACGGCTTCCTCTAAGAGTAGTAGTGCAAGTTCTCTTCTCTGAACAGGTGAAGATAAGCAATGCAATAGCTAGTAGCTCCCTCAAGGAAGCTGGAGAATCCCACTACCAGCCAATGGTGTCAACCCGTAAGACATTGCTTGAAGGACGCCACAGTCATTTCAAGAAGGATGGGCAACTGCCAAGAAGGACATCAACACTCTCAAGTTTGAGCTTGAAACAGTCAAGGCTAAGTACTTGGAACTCCAAAACGACTTTGAAACCTTACAGAGACAGTTCGATAAGATGGCTAAGCCAAAGCAAACTTTCGCATGGACCTCAGGTGGAAAAAGCTAGGCAAGCTCACCAAGATGTCAAATTTGGAAAACCATGATGATGGACCCCAGATTTCGAATCCAGAACAACCTAAAAAGGCACCTAGAAGGTGGAGAAATTCCGTTTCTTGAGACTAAGGAAGTGAAGAAGTAAGATATTTCCTGATAAACTTGATCCCCCTATATTTCATTTTTCTATTCCTATAGCTGTAGTCGTCTTTCTTTTTTTTCCTCTTATTAGGAGTACTCCAAAGGTTCCCTCTCTTCACAGGAATTATCTTAGGAACTTTCACATTTGATCCTTCTGTCTTTGGGTGAGTGGTTGTGGTGCAATTGCCATGTTTGTTTGAGTGTGTTCTGCATTATGATTTAGTTGCACGAGTGGAACATCTTTATCATTTTTCCCGCAAAAGCACATTACATGTTTTCAATGAATCAACTTTGGATGTATCAAGAAAAAGTTCAGGCTGAAAAGGTCTTGAAAATTCTCAGGTTCAATTTGTATCTTTCATTCCATTGATGTGGAGCATATAAGCAATTGGGCAAGCATACACTGGGACCTGGATGGATTGGAAAAGGATTATCAGTGGCATTATCTCTCTCTCTCTCTCTCCATGTAGGTTGTCATAGTTGTCCAGTTTTTCCATAAGATCTTGCACGCAAAATTGCAGAGAAGGAACAATTCATCAGCTTCCTGAATATCAATGGAACACTAATTGTATATCATGAGAATAGTTCAAAGCCAGACAAAGTTGTTAGGTATCATACAGTATCCAAGAAACTAATATATTGGAGACAGTCCTACCATAATGCCGAAGTCAGCATGCAGAATATCAATTACCATTCACTACATTAAGCATGGACATATCCATATGAATGGATCTTACGCTTACACATACTTGTTACTTTGACTTTTAATACGAGTCAGCACATGCCTTGGCACTAAGAATTTGCTGAAGACACAAAATCGACCCTCGTTTTCTTTGGGGTTTTGGTAGCTCCTTTGGGCCCCAACGGCTATCCATTCGGATGCTGTTCTCTGGCTTTTAGCCGGGCCGAATCTGCATTGCAAGCACAGCGATCAACTAATCATGTGCGTGGACTATTATGGAAAACCCAAAAAAGTGAATAAAATCGCTTCTTTTTTTTTTTTTTGGGCGCCTTGTGGAGATACTGTAAAGTTGGTAAAATGCAAATACTCTAATTAAAATGTAGAAGTAACAATTGACAAAGAATGCTTCTTTACCATGCTTGGCTACCTCATTAGGTTGGTAGTAGCACGGCCGTGCTCTAACTCTATAGAACGGTAAGTACAATTGTTTGCAGCGAGAAAAAGAGAAAGAACGGCCGTGCTCTTCTCTTCTCTTCTCTTGATGGGCTACCTCATTAGTTTTCCCCACAACCCTCCTTTGTAGGGAAAACTTTCGACTACGAATTCCTTATAAACCGTTGGATTCCCCCTTTTCCTTCTCAAGGTTCAACTCTCTCATTTTGAGAACTATTTGTACCTCCCCTACATACACACACTCGTTAAGTCTTCTCTCTTCAATGGAAATCATGCAGTCCAGAAGAATGTCGTCCAACTCCTCCCACAGCAGCAAGGGTCCTTTGATTTGATTATCCTCTCTAATGTAGCAATCAAATCAAATACAGCACAGTTTAGCAGTGGGTTAATGTTGGAAATGTCAAATTAAATTGAATTATAGCATAGCAAGACCGAAAAGCACTGCTGCCAAAGGGGAAAAATAATAATAACAAACAACAGGCAGCGGCCAAAAGTCATAATCCAAACAGATAGGCACTACATAACCAGGATTACATTGCAATATCCACCCAAAACAACTGTTGTACTCAACGAAACATACAAATAAAATCCTGCATTAAAGATTGATGCCCACGTGCTCATGAAGACGGCCTACAGGAGACTCTTCTTTGCAGCAAAGGCAAAGCACAAATCCTCTGCACAGCTCACTAAAGAAACATACTAGCACTAGCCTTTTAAGACAAGATTTGGTCATGGATGAGCATCAAATATTCATGATGAATCTTCCGGGCCCCCTTTCTACTCTCAGCTCTCTTCACTGCTGCTTCAGCCCAACATCTTAGCTGCTTCTTTGAAAGCCACATAAGGTAAAAAAAAAAATAACAAAGCTTAGAATCAAGAAAACAAGATGGAGGTGAAGAGTGGAAGGCGGACCCAAATTAGCAAATGCGCGTGCACTTAATCCATTGTGTTTTCAACATGTTGGCAAAGAGGTCCTCATTTACAGCACAGCCCACCTCTCTGCCTAGACCATGCGTTCAAAATTCTGGCTATTTTCAATCCGAAAGCAAATGAACAATCATTTCTACCCGGCAATTATAGCCCCAGTTTTCTTCACCTCCTGTAAGCAAAGATGAAAATTTTCACCTCATTAAGCTTTTCCTCTATTGGCTTTTTAAAGCAAACTGCACTATAGCTTTAACAAGATCACAAAAGCTTCACACAGCAAAAACCACCTATCCATCCCTTTCAGTCAAAAGAGACGAGATCAACTTATCCCTTGATCGTACTGCCTCAGTAAAAAAGCACCCGAAATGTACTACTGTTGACGGGAGCACTGCACTTCAGGGTGGCCAAGCCCAAAGCTTCAGCTTTCTCCCTCAATGATATCAAGTAATTTATTGCATCATCAATGATCAAGATTGGATCTTTATTCTCTGCTCCAGGAACTATACTTTCAAGAATTCTCAACGTCTTGCAAATTTTGGCCCGCTTTTGCGTTGTGTTGATATTGGAGTCCATCTCCTCATTGAGGTCCCCACCTTTGGCACAATTTGTCTCCACATGGTTATCATCATTGCAAAATTTAGCCAATTTCAATGGATCTGCAGTGTCCACTAACGATGATTTCTTGTAACCACCATCAAGCAATTTATGCCTTTTAGTTGAACCATCAGTGCTACCAACTTCCTCAGTAAGTTCCCAAACCTTCTCATGCATCTCGATGCCACCTATGATTGTAAAAGGTGAATGCCCGGTGCTAGTCAGGTCATCATCTTCACCATCAACATCATCATCATTCCCAGGGAAGCTATCAGAGTAGAGCAACGCATTGATTTCTTCTGTGTCCTCACGCATGTCACCTCCTTCACTCTTTACATGGTGCTCAGTATGCGGATGGTGCTCAGTATGCGGAGGAGGCTTCATTATCTGTGATTGTCCTGCTTCACCTTGCAAATCGTGAAAATCAACTGGTGTCATGGGCATGATAATCTGATCTTGGTAAGGTGAACGAAAAGATCTCGAGATCAATCTAACTTGATCCCCAGATTGATCAAAAATGAGAAACTTCTTATGAGCGGATGCAGATACATCCTTGAATGTAGGTTCGACACCATGTCCATGACCAAAAGCACGTTGAGATTCTTCAAAATGTGGAGCTGCTGTGGGAGACGAGCTCTCCTTTTGAGGAGGCAACCATTGGAAAGGTCCCCGAACTCCATCAAGTTGGTCCGTTTTAAAATGAAGAAGCCCAAAAGCTGAAGTCCCTGTATCTGGAACAGCAGTACTGTCATTTGAGCGAGGAGAATCCCACAGATAATGGTGCTGAGAATGCTGAAAATCGTAGGCTGTAAACATCCAGCTAATTCAATAATCTGAGACATAAAATTGCCAGATTTTAGAAAATTCCAAGCAATAAAAGGCAATGGAGATGAACAGCAGCAAGATGTCAAAAACCATACCAGAAAACTGATTGTAATGAATCTTCAACGTCCACACTTTTAGAAACCAAAATAATGAATCAAAATATTCAAACTCCAGCCTCACGTACTATTGAAAACGTACTATCAATCTACGTAACTGGTTTAAGCAAGTGACGGAAGTACTCAGCCTACAGAAATCCAAAAGGAAACAAGTAGGATTTAGTAACTTCTCCATCATTATCAAGTACAGAGAAAAACCTGTCACATTAAGAAAACACAAATCCAAAGAGTAAACATAAAGGGTAAAGAGACTACAACTTGAAACGCATTAGCAAGCACCCTAACACAATCTTGAACCAACCTGACAATTTTGCAAAGGTTGAAAGCATGCTATCACCCTAACTACAATGGTTGGTGTCCCTGCTATGCCATTTTCATGTTTTAAAGCCCGGAATCTTGTCTGGCTTGCTGCTTGGCACACCATAATTTCTTTTGCACCTTGAATCAGTTTCAAAATCTACGCAAGACTACGACAATAGAAATAGAAATCTAGAACAAAAGATAGGACCAAAGAAAAAAGAAAAGATAAGAAAACGAGGAGTGTACCAAATCTGAAGGAACTACAAGATGTACTGGCAAGAGACGAGGTGTCAGAGGAATGAACTTAAAACTGCTTAAGACCATAAATAATTCTCAGCTGATCATATAGATATTAGAAGCAATGAAAGAGAAGTGATTGGACCCCATTGAAATCTTGTTAAACGAGATCAAAAGAATCAAGAGGTAATTCTGGTTTAATAAGGACAACTGAGATCATTTACAGAATAACCCTACAATACAAATTCAAGGAGATAACTTGACGAAACACATCAATGGACAAACTAATCCACCGCATATTGTTCACTTATAGGTGAGATCAATATAGCCTCAGCAGTAGTGCGACATGCCCGTTACCTGCAATATATAAATGATCAACAAACATAAGAACAGCAGTATTCAAGTAGAGTGGGATAAACATAATGGAATCTTATGATCCTCAGACTAGTGCGCATGCCTTTCACATATAAGCAAGAAAGAACATTAACTAATATGGCATTGGAAGTTGAATTTCCCTATTTATGTGCATGAAAATGAAGTATAACGCTGAAGAATTAGAAAAACTAGGAAAAGGAAAGGGAACAAGAAAAAGAAAAAGAAAAAAGAAATTTAGCCAACATGGCACTATTTAATTTCTTTATTTCCATGAAACAGCTCAAAGAACTCAGGTAAGTAATAGTAATCGAGGAAAGAAACATAACCCATGAAATCATTGAACTTTCAATTCATAATTAATCGTAGGACATAAGGAGAAAAGATCGACCAGAGAAACTTCGACAAAAGGAAAAAAATAAAAATCCCATCTTTATTGTTAAGCCTACAAGCGTTTCACTCATGTACTAAGAAAAGCTGGCTAAGCGAACGTACTTCGAACTTATTGACAAGAATCACTTTTTTTCCGACAAAAGACCCAAAAAAAATAAAAATAAAAAGACGAGGACTTCATGAATTTACTGATCAAGAATTGAGGATTTAAGGATTAAACAAGACAAAAATGAACAGGTGGAAAATCCGACCAGTAAAAAAGGTTAATACAGTTGGAAAAAGGACTTACACAAGGAAAGATCCAAAAGAACAAATGGGTCGCGCCGCCAGATAGAGAGCGCTTGAGTGGAGAGAAAGAACATGAAGTGAACAGTTGAGCGGAAGGCCGGAGAAAATTTGTCTGAGTGGGGGAAAGAACGGGGGAACTGGAATATATAGTGCATAAGAAATTTTAGGACGGTTTTACCCCTTTCCTGCTTCTACTTTGTCTCATCTATTGGCACTTGTCGTTCATTGGAAGTTTTTAGCTGCTTAATTCAATTGTTTAGGCGCACACTTATTATAAGTGTGTTTTCCTACGTTATGTAATTTTGAATTTTTGCAACATATTTATCTCTTCATTTCGTGTAAAATCTATGATAAAATGGTTAAGTTAATTTTCTTATTTTTAAAACATCAAAGTTACTAATTTTGAGTTTGTACTAAAGGGCTCTGTTTGTTTTGAGGGAATAAAAGTGAAAGGAAAGGAAAGGAAATAGAGAAATAAGATTTTTCATGAAAGACTTTACTCCTAAATTTAACAAATGAGATATAGTTAGTTATCAAACACTACTCTGTAACCTAAATAAGTTGAAAGCCGAGGAGCGAGTAGACATCTTTGTACACGGGTAATACTTGCAGGTATGATTGTTAACGTTTGGAATCCAACCAAATGTAAAGCCATGATTGTTGCTTTGAATGAGCTGCAGCTTCAAATGAATGCGGATTGCGGGGCAAAAGTACTGAAATTTCTCTGAAAATGAGATGCTTCTAGCTAAAAATATGAAATAATCAGTGGTTTGGTTCAAATTGTTGCACACCACATGCATCAAAATCTGAGTTTCATAATTTTCGTCGATCATGTCAAAATGTCGAGGTATTTTGACCAATCATGGAGGATTGTTCCTTTTACCCACTACCACAGATGATTTAGATCCGAGCTCACAGCTGGAAAACAAAAGCCGTATGAAAACGTTGTAGTACCATAAAGCGACTAGGAAACCATAATCTCCATTTTTAATCTGAGAGAGAGGAGAGGAGGCTGCAATTTCGGTACCAGTTACAGAGTAACACCCACTGCTAAGGCATTCTACATCGGGCGGCAGGCTGAAGAGCTCGAAGCCTTTTTATTCAGATAAAAATACAAACTATAATTAACTAACACCCACTGCTGAAGGACTCTACATCAGATGTCTACCATCGGCAACCCGCAGCATCAGAGCCAGTAATTAATTACTGAACACCCAATACTTCAATCTCGAAAACCAGAACAGAGTTAGGCTCAATGCCCCATGCTGGGAAACCACTAGGACCATAAGCATAGTCGGGGGAACACTGCATAAATTTGGAACAATTTAATAGAGGAAAAAACAGTCACCATACTGCATTGAAATGCAGACTGGGTAAAAACAATTTAAAATGGTTTTAAGAGAAAATGTTTGGTTAACAAATGCCCAGTGAACACTCGTTAAATAGGAGATCTTAGGTGCTACTTTCGTTGCAAAACCGTGTAGTTAATTTGGAGACAGAGAGATAGACTATGGAATGTTAGAAGTCTATAGATCCTAAGGCACTCATCCAAAACCAACAATAAATGGACAAATTTACTTATTTTGTCCAAAGCAAATATATAGGCTCAAACCCACAAAGATAGCAGTATCACAGCCGCCTCTTCTGTTATTCGTTCCCAAGATACCTACCATTCTCAACACTTCCATGATCAGCCTTTCTAATGGCTCTATTAGCTCAAAATTATGAGCAGAAGATATTAGCCATGGTGCATCTGGTAGTCAGCTTGGACGCTACAAAACCGTCTTTTAAAAGGTTTTTCCTTTTTCTCTATTCTTGTCTTACTATAATATCCCAGATATTCAGCTTTGCTCTACAAGACACACATCATAACATCCTCATTCATAGCTGCTTTTTTTTTTTACAAGGTGTTCTTAGCAAATGACATTTATTTACTAGTAAAAAGCTAAGCAAGAAACAACTCAAGTGCATGATTTTACCGTTAAGCGCGCAACTTCTCCCACTTGCATTCCAAGTACACCTTCATCCCATCCTGCATAGGAGAGAACAAGCAAGGCAACTAAGGAAAAAGCTAAAATTCTTGGATGAAGCAATTCAATACATTGTGCCTAAGATAGATGACATCAACTCTTCTGTCATATAGGACAACCAACATTACTTGGAATAATCAGAAGATTGCCGCAACATGGAATGAATTTATCATTCCAAATTGGCGTGCCAGAGCAGCCAGACAAGGAAGAAACACTAAAATCTGTTTGCTGCCACCCAAACAGATTATACAGAACGCACAATAACAAAGCTAATCTCAACATAAAGAACTCCCCATCCCCAGCCTAGAAAACTGATAGATTTTATGAGAAAAGGCACTACAATCCCGCTCCCCAATAAAAAGAAGAGAAAAGAAAAAGGACAATAATTCAAGAAAAATATCCTTGAGAATGATAGTTACACTGGAAGGGATTCGAATTCACATCCCTTTTGGAATTTCGGTCAATTCAAATGTTCGCTGGGTTTTATTAGAGATTTAAAGCTTCCATCTTTACCATGAAAACCAGCCCCTGTGGCTCCGCACATTTTCCTAACCTCTACACTCTAACATCAGCTAAGTCATCTAATCTGCCTATCCAGTCCTCACCAATATTCAGCAGAATATCTGAAATATTCCTCCTTTTTTTTTTTATCAAAAATTTAGTAAAACAATTTTTATAAGCTACTCCACAATGGGATATCATTACAAAGGAAATTTCTTTCTGAGACAAGAATTAACAGACGGGGCACAATAATGATTAATATTACCTCTGATAACTTTCCCCTGGCCAATCTGGAAAGCAAACGGCTCCTGCCCTGGATCCTTGGTGCTATAATTAACAAGGATTTCAGATCACAAGCAAGTAATGCTGAAAATAATTGTACTAAAAAAAATCACAAATTTTTAAAATAATTTTTTACATGCGTCATTACCTCCAGAATTTTTTAGACAAATCACGGTTCTTTCCTGCAAATACACAACATATTCTTATTATTAGGAAAATTAAAAGTATTCTTTGGTAATCATATGAAACAGACTACCACTAATAATATAACGGCGTGAAAGGCAAAGGTGCAAATGGGAGAGAGGAAGGGGGTTTGGAAATGGAGGGCACTTACCGAAACCGGTACAGTGGACGGAGACGGTCTGACCGGGAACGGGTTTGGGTCCCCCTCCGGGCCTTACGACTTGCTTCTCCACTCCCATTCTTTCACGGCTGAGCGCTGAACTGTGAATTACTCAGTAGTGAATATGCCAGCTGTTGCTTTTTGGATATTTGCTTTGGTTCTGGTTATTAAAGACTGAATATGGCTGCGTTTGCTATTGGGTATTTGTGTTGTTAGGATACACGTGCGACTTTCTGCTTCTAGGACTTTCTGCTTCTAGAATACTGTAGAGTTTTTTTTTTTTTTTTTTTTGATAATAGAATAATGTAGAGTTACGTCAGCCCTGTTAAGGTGCGATTGGATGATGTATGAGTCTCTCCCTCAACCTTTACCTTACAGTTTCCTTCAAAAAAAAAAACCTTAACCTTACGTACTGCAAAATTTGGTAATTGGGGGGCCTCAACTAACAAAGGGCTCCAAACAACTGTTTCTGCATTAGCCCGCCAACCTGCAGTTCTTCGGGCTCCACAATTGTTCAAGTCTGGTTCCTCCCGTTACAGATGGTCACTGGAAGCAATGGGCTTGTTCAAGGCTGGTTCCAAAATCTTGGTAACTGAGTGCTTGGTTTGTGATAAGTGTACCTCGGAGCAAGAATTGGTTCGAAGTGATAAAGTTGTTCTTTTATCAGGTGATATGTAAGATCTAATCTTATCATGCTACTTCAAAATAAACCGTCTTGTGACTCTAAAGAGAGATTTTATTACGGTCCAATAAATTAACATTGCAAGCCAGCAGTTTAGTCTTTGACTAATATGAAACCGTCAATTTGAACAAATAACCAGCCCACAACCTTAGTTCAATGTATGTATGTGCAAGGCCCTGTCCTGGGCCTGGACACGTGGCAGCCCAGGTGCGGCCGAACTGGGCTTTGGCCCCAGGCCCCTGGCAGCCGTCCTGGGCTGCGCTGCTAGGGCTCCTGGAGGGGCGAGTATCCATCCCGAAGAGGTCGGGAATAATCCCTCTGAGTGCGGGATAGGGGTTATGCTGGGCAGAACCCGAAACGTACGGAGGTCGGACTTCCGCACAGGTATAAATGATAGAACACATCAACTGTACAAGGTACGCTCACTATTGGCAAATTGCTCTCGGCCGTCTATATTTCCCGTGAACTTATCCCGCCGGAAAACTAACTTGATCGTCGGAGCGCTCTCGGGGACAACCCTCGGGCCCCCCTTTGTTAGCTCACTCTTATCTGTTTTGCAGGCTTGGAGTCAGCTCTTCCATCAGCACCCAGAGCTGATCAGGTCAGCTCGTCCCGAGGAAGTTCTGTGCTTCTTCAGTTGGCGCCGTCTGTGGGAAACGCAAGGTAATTATTGTTGTGTTGATGGCAAGAGCACGATCCAAGCGAACCGTTGAGAGCACCGGCCCGAGAGCCGGCGAGGGATCCCGGCGAGCGGAGACCGAGCGGCCGGCCGGGGGCGCGGGGGGCTCGGCCCTCTCAGGGGAGCGAAGACAGCAGATCCTCCAGTTCGTGACGGAGAACCTCCCGATGCTGGAGGACCTAATCCAGCAAACGAAGGAGAAAGAGGGGGCTGGAAGCGCGCAGACTTCCAAGGCTAAGGGGAAAGAGAAGGAGTTGCCCCCTGACCCTTCGGAGGATGAGTCATGGATCAGCCCCCAGGAGGAAACGCGGCGAATTCCACCTCGTCCGCGACCCTCGGTGGTCGGGGACAGTGAAAGGTACTCCCGTGACAGGTCCGCGGGGAGCCGGTTGAGGAACCCCTCCCCGAGGAAGCCTGTGCGGAATGGGCTTGACCGCTCTTCCGCCCGGTCTGTCAAGAGCCGACCACGGGACCCCCTCAGCGGAAACCCGTTCAAGACGAGCTCGAACAGATCCTGCGGCCGCGTTTGTAAGAGGACGACTACGCTACTTCGCCCTTTACCCGACAGATAGAGGACTACCCACTACCCCGGAGGTTCAAGATTCCGAACATCGAGATGTACGATGCCTCTACAGACCCGGAAGACCACCTCTCGATTTTCCTGACGCACATGCGTCTGCAAAACTGCCGCGGACGAAGTTCGCTGCAAAACTTTCCCTATGTTCCTGAAGGGGAAAGCACGGCTCTCGGTTCCAAGGATTGGCGCCGGGGTCTATACGGAATTTTCCCGAGCTGGCTCGACAGTTTCGCAGCCCAGTTCGTCTCCTCGAAGACCTACGCGAAAAACCGCGACCCACCTGATGTCCATCAGGCAAAGGCCCGACGAGTCGCTGAGCGAATTTCATGACCCGTTTCAACGCGGAGAGCTTGTAGGTCAGGGACAAAAACGAAAAAGTGGTAATGGCCGCCTTCATGAACGGGGATCAGGGTAGAGGAACTCTTCTATGATTTGGCCGAGCAGCCTCCCAAAAATTTGGAGCAGCTCCTGACAAGGGCGCAGCGGCTGTCAACGTAGAGGAGGCAGCCCGTCTGAAGAAAGAGTCAGATCGGGGGCTCGGAGAGCGGAGAGGACGGAAAAACCCCCCATGAGGTCCGCACACGGCTTGAAATTGCGAAATTTGAGAGTGCGATGCTCGACCCTAAGAGGTCGGCACGCCTGTTAAAGACGGGGGGCTTGACGCTCAACCCAAGAGATCGGCATGACCGTCTTGAAGGTGTGATGCTCGACCCCAAGAGGTCGGCACGCCGTGACTTACTTTGAGGCAGCTTGTCAAAACCAGGGAGCATGCTGGCTCGGCCCAGGAGGTCGGCACGATTGCCTGAGAATATAATGCTCGATCCAGGAGGTCGGCATGACTGCCTGAAAAATGTGATGCTCGACCCCAAGAGGTCGGCACGTCTGCCAAAATCAGGGAGTTCAACGCTCGACCCAGGAGGTCGGCATAACTGCCTTGGAAATGTGATGCTCGACCCCAAGAGGTTGGCATACCCGCTAAAATCAGAGTTCGACGCTCGACCCGGGAGGTCGGCGTGACTGCCTTCAAAGTATGATGCTCGGCCACAAGAGATCGGCACGGCTTAAAATTTTGAAGTCGGAAAGTGCGATGTTCGACCCCAAGAGGTCGGCACGTTGTGCCTTAACTTGAATGAGTTTGTTTGACCCAGGAGGTCGGCAAGGCTCAAATCTTTAAAAGTCGGGGGCTTAAACCATGTCAGTGGCAATTTGATGCTCGGTCCCATGAGGTCGGCACGCATTGATCAAGTTTGTCGAAACTTGGGAGTTTGACGCTCGACCCAGGAGATCGGCGCGGTTTTCTCAGTGACAGCACTGTACCAGAGGTGACCGGGGCAGAGTAGTGCGCGACGCTGGTCTCCTACGTGGCAGAGTATAGATTAGGTCTGCCTGGAAGTCTTACTTAATCTAGGGGCTATTGCAAGGCCCCGTCCTGGGCCTGGACACGTGGCAGCCCAGGTGCGGCCGAGCTGGGCTTTGGCCCCAGGCCCCTGGCAGCCGTCCTGGGCCGTGCTGCTAGGGCTCCTGGAGGGGGCGAACATCCTTCCCGAAGAGGTCGGGGACAATCCCCCTGAGTGCGGGATAGGGGCTATGCTGGGCAGGTCCCGAAACGTACGGAGGTCGGATTTCCGCACAGGTATAAATGATAGAACACATCAACTGTACAAGGTACGCTCACTATTGGCAAATTGCTACCGGCCGTCTATATTTCCCGTGAACTCATCCCGCCGGAAAACTAACTTGATCGTCGGAGCGCTCTCGGGACAACTCTCGGACCCCCTTTGTTAGCTCACTCTTATCTGTTTTGCAGGCTTGGAGCCAGCTCTTCCATCAGCACCCCGAGCTGATCAGGTCAGCTCGTTCCGGGGAAGTTCCGTGCTTCTTCAGTATGTATGTTTACTAGACAGTCAAGATAACTCTAAATAAGTTTTCACGGTCTTGTTTGGAGTATTTTCATTAAAAAAAAAAAGAAATCTAACCCGACGACTGGCTAACTATTAGACATGCCACGAACTTATTGCATGCTAAAATAAATTTTCTACTTGTAGGGTTGCCATTACCTTATCCTTGGGCCTGGGAATAAAGAAAAAATAGTTTGAATGGATGAAGTGTTTTTTTAGATGTTTTTCACAAATTACACTGTATCATTGTATCCGTAGATATATTTTTGAATGTTTTTAAAATTTAAAATTCTATTAGGATATTTTTAAAAGTCCGTTGATTTTCGATACCAAAACCATTCCTTCCTCTACTCTCCTCTATCAGCACCATCACTCCTCTCTTCTCCCTTCATCCTCCTACTTTCTCCTCTTCACTCTTCCTTCTCACCCCTCTTCCCTTCTTCCCTTCCCTCTCTTCCCCATTCTTTTTTATCCCTCTCCCTTCATCTCATTCCTTCTCCTTCCCTTCTCTCTCTCCTTTTTACTTCTCCGTAGCCCTCTTCCCATCCCTTCCACCTTCTTTTTTAACTCCCTCTCTTCATCTCATTTCTCTACCTTCCCTTCTTTCTCTCCTACTTCCTTCACTGGCAGCGCTCATCCCATCCCTTCCCCTTTCTCCTGCAACCCCTCTCCCCTTTCTTCATCCCCTCTTCTCTTCGCTCCTCCCTTTCCCCCAATTCTCCTCCCCCCTTCCTCCTTTTCTCGTAGACCCTTAAGTGAGAGGAGGAGAGGGGGAAAGGGAAGGAGGTTGTAGGAGAAGGAAAAGGATGGAATGATAAGGAAAGGGAAAAGGAATAAGGCAGAAAAAGGAGAAGGAAGGTCCTAGAGGAAAAGGAAGAGGGAGGAAAAAGCAGGGAGGTAGAGGAAGAAATAGAGAAAGAAGAAGGAAAAAATAGAGAAAAACGAGAAGGGAAGAGGGAGGAGCAAGGGACAATAACGGGGGTGGAGGAAAGAGGAGGAGATGGGTGGTGGGTGGAGAAAAAAAGAGGTGATAGAATTTATTTTATTTTTTATTTCTTGTGTGTTTTTGTCAAGTGTATTGAAATTGTATTTGAAGTATTATTGAGATACCTTTTTTAGATTGTGTAAATATAGCATTACATCTAGAAAGTAGGATTTTTTTTGGAGTGTATTAATGTAGCGTTGAATTTTTAGAGTGTGTTAATGTAGCATTATATTTGAAAAATAATTTTTTTTTGAAGTTCATTGACGCAGCTTTGTATTTGAATTTTTTTTTTTTGGAAGTTTGTTAATGTAGCATTGTATTTGAAAAATAGATTTAAATTCAACAATAATGCTATACTAAGTTAAACATAACACTGGATTCCAAATCGATTAGTATGGATCTAGGATTAACTTTATATGTGAAGAAGAGGAAAAATAGGAGGCGATTGTAAAGTTTCTTTATCTTTGTCACTTAATTCTTTTAGTCGTATTTTGTATTTTGTTTAGGTGATTATAAGAGCACAGGGAGACGATGCCAAGATAGCACCTGTTCCAATAAGGCATCTTCGAAGTAACAATACGTACCGTCATAAACATTAAAAGCGTAAAACGTACTTGCCAAAAGGTATGCTGGTAGGGCATTTTGGCCACACGAAATGAAGACGATGGAATAGAGCAAAGCAAAGTAAGAAGACAATGGAGTAGAGCAACGGAAAGCGTGATTACCCCCAGGAAAACTGTGACTAACGCTAATCTTTATGCACGCAAACTGCTGAACCTTAAGAAATACAGGAGCATCCTGGTATGGGCATGACTTTTAAGCTCAGGGAAGCTTTGCCTTTAGATTCCGGCTATGAGTAGATGCCTCGCTCAAACGCGTGAAGTAGATGTGACACAGAAGCAGCGCCTTCAAATTCCTAACTCAAAGGCGTTTCCTGTACTTCACTCAAAGGAGTAGGGTATTGAATCACCTGACAAACTCTCTCCTTCACTTTCATGTAATCTAGCTACTCATTTTTCTTCAATATACACATTAATAACTTCAAGGATACTTAAACTTCATATCATTACTTTCAAGCTCTTTTGTTTGTTTTGTTTCTTTTTATCTGATTTATCTTTGCTTCCGCTCTTTTCTTTTCTTTTCTTTTCTTTTCTTTTCATTTCTTCCCCTACACTTTCCTCTAATGCCTGCACCATCTTCGTATCCTCAACTTTCCTTGCGACTTCTGTTACTACAAAGACATATAGCGGATCCTCATTCTTACACAGTACACACGATTTAAGGATTCTCCAAATTTTCATTTGGAGAAAGTAATTTTCATTTGGAGAGAGTTACATTGCAACAGCTAGTGCGTATAACCTGTTCAAATTGACATCTAATAGAATTGAAGGATAAATAACCAACTCTTCAGTCTTCAATACTCACTCTGAAACATAGTTAGCACCTTGGTCTCCAAGTCCTTGACAGAATATGTTATGTACCCATTCAGATTCTTCACTTTGTGAACTCGGCTCAACTGCTCAAGAAATTGATTGTAGGCCGGAATCAGCTTAACCATTATGCATTCAAGAAGTTTCATCCGCAGCTGCTGATCTGGTACCATCCATCCTTCTTGAGTCTGAAGTATATCTTCAAACATACGATTGAAGGTCCTAAACTTCTTTTTCACAGCTCTCGTAGACCTTCCAGGAAAGAAATCAAAATTTAAATCTGATTTTAATCCTTTACCTTTCAAAAAATCGCAGACTTCGCCCCAACTTGTATGGAGATAATCAGCCCTTGCCAGCTCCACTTTTTCACTTAATTTCATCCGCAGGCGAGTGCCAATAAGTTCTCCCAACTCCTCGGAACTTTTAATCATCTCAGAAACAGAGTTAACATTGTTCATCATGAACAAAAAACCCAGAGATTCTTGTCCATAGAAGTTGGACTTGAATTTCAAGTTATACAGTAAAAACTCGATGACTCGAGTTAGATGGCTCTCTATGGAAATTGGCCTTTCATCCATTTCATGTGAACCCACTACTTCAGGAGGATCTCGATCATTGGAGCTTTGGGGTCTAGCCACCAAGTCAATTAAGGATTTCCTGTGAACATAAATCAGGTCAATGTGACGAATTATGTGTCTAGTTAAGGGGTGAATTCCTCCCCAGGAAATGGCATCGTCGAAAGCTCACGAAGAACATGTTTCTCTGTAACAGAAAGGATCTTTGTCATTTGCTGTTTCAGTCGGAGCAAAATCTCAGTGGCAAGGCCGCAGATAGCTTTCGCCGGTTGTACATCTTGGTCAAAATATACAATCACTTGTGGAACTAGATTGGTGAGTTCTTGACAAAAGGGCATCAAAATGTCTGGTCTCTGGGGCAATCGGCGGCTGGCTAATAGAGAGTCTGGAAACTCAAACAACTCGGCCGCAGCTCCTACTACTATGGACACAAAACGGCCGTTAGCAGCAGTGTCCTCAGATGTTCCCAGGTCTCCAAATATTTGCTCATAAAAACACTTTTCTAATTTAAAAATGGTGGCTATGCAAAACTTGGCTATTTGCATCCATCCATTGATTTTGTCACTCAACTCATCCAAGCAATTAAAATGACAGACGGTTTGTACATTCAATTTCTCACGCAGTCTCATAAATACCGTGTTGACCGCGTCCTTTCGACGCTCGACATACATCTGAACACAATCGCCAATTCGTTTCTGGAGGTCAATATTTCTGAAATGCGCCTAAGAGTCTTTATATCTTCTTCACTGAAGACCTTGTGATGGCCCTTATAGTCTTCGTAATGCAATGTCATGCAGGAGCTGTCTGTTATGGAAGCTGATGGAGAAACTGAATTGTTCGAACTCTTCAAGAATTGATCCGCACCAATGGGGTACTTGGGGTTGAATAAGATGTCTTGGAACTGGAGCTTGAGTTGCGAAGAGGGGATTTGGGAAGCCTGCCCATCAAAGATGACTTTGCTTTCACTGTAAAGTGAGAATAGATCTTTTGTCAAATTCATCATACACTCCTCGTTTACTTGGGAAAAAGTTGCAGGAGGGGGTTGTGGAAATGCCGGCTAGGAGAAGTTGTCAGGCAGGGTTTGAAATTGTAACCAAAGGATGGAAGAGTTGGGTAGAAAAGATAGAACGACTTTTGAAAATTGGAATAATTTCAGAGACCTCCCTTGAGGTTTTACCTAATTTCACTTTAGTATCCTTAAAGTTTCAGAAATATCATTTACCCTTGTTGGTAAATGAGACTTCTAATCATCCTAACTGCATATAAATTGACAAAATTATTCTTACTAGTTTAATCATTCTTTAGGCAAACAAATACGAAAGAGAAAACCAAATTGCAATGGCTATTTTAACCATTTTTCATTTTTGCACTTAAAGAATTTTAGTTATTTAATCTTTTTATGTCAACCAATTATTAAATTGTCTTTGATAGTATAATAACTATTTAAGCAAATAGCATATGTAACAAAAAAATTAAGTCTATCAAGACAACAACTACTCGAATAATTATATTTGAATTTAATCACCCTTATTCTTCCAAATTTCGATACCCTCTATATGAATTTTATATTAAATCACCCTTACTATGTTACGGGAAAAAAGTTGGGAAGTGAAAATGCTTAACATCTCCCCTACTTTTGTCTTTTTATGCCAATTCTATATTTGCTCTCACTATTTTTTTTTTTTAAAAAACTTTATGCAAAAAAGAGTTCGGAAAAAAAAATAAAATCTATAAGATTTTGGTGATTCTAATTATTATTTTTCCCTAAACATACCCCCTCCCTTGACTTTTGGTCTTTCTATGTCAACCTTATATCAAATTATCCTAATTATGCTAACCATCATATATGCAAAAAAAGGAAGATAATAAATCTAAATTTATAAAAAAAAAGTGTAATCTAATAATTGTTGTATGCAAACATCTCTTCTTGCCACATTTTTAGTTTTCACATGCTAGTTTTTAATTAAAGTTTCTTTGGTTATTCTAACAATTATATAAGGGAAAAAAAAGAAAAAGCCAAAAATAGAAAGAAAATACTATTCTATCATTTATTGTAGCACTTAACACTCTATTCTAATCTTGTTTAGTTCTCCCATGCAAATATATGTTAGAAATTAATTTGGTTAAAATTTCAAGATAAGACAACATAAAGGGATAAAATTGGAACAAAAATAAATCTCACTCTGTATCTCTCTTTTTAAATAATTATTTTAAGAATATTTTCATGGTGTAGGATGAGTTTGTTATAAAGATATGATTTTAGAATCAAGTAATATTAAACAAAATCTTAGAGGAGATTTTGGAAAATATCCCTATATTCCGTATGTATAGGCCCCAATAACAAGACAAATGATGGCAGCATTGGTGGCCACCATCAAGCCTTTAACTGTTGATGGGATAGGAGGTTAATATAAATTTGTTTCAAAAAATTCATACAATATATCAATTTGATTTGGTGATGGTTTAATTTCCTTTGATTGCTTCTTATCTCTTCAGGTCCATCCCTCTACCTAATTTAGAATAGATTAGGATACACTCTATAATTATCGCGTCTCAGAGAAAAAAAAAATTGACAGCGGTGGCACCAGTCGCGCGGGAAGAAATGAGAGGTGGGGTCTACTGCTACATTCACACCTGGCAAGACAACAGTTCATGGTCTGGATTTGCCGCAAGCGATTGGGTTGATTTGGAGCATTCATTTGACATATTTTTAGGGATAATTTCACAAACCTCCCCTGAGATTTCTGACACTTACACTGAGACCCCTCTAGGTTTTAAAAATTTCACCTAGCTCCCTTGCTTTTCAAATTTTGGTAACAATTCAGTCCAATTAGGATTAAAATATTACTATCATGATAGAGATGACATTTTTATTCCATGAATACCCTCTTCCTCTTTATATTAGTACAAGATTGCAAGTTATTAAAAAGATTGAGATGATTATCAAAGTTGAGAGGATATAAATGCAATTCAGAAATTTTGATGCAGTACATGGAGACATCTTCAGTATGTTAACAGGAAGAGCCAACGGCAACTTGCAATCTTCTAATGGCCAGATTTTGTATACCTCCAACTGCATATAAACATCAGAAGTGCAAAGTATATCCTCAAGCCAAAAGATTGTGAGGAGGAAGAGTATATCCTCATTGTTTTGCAGGAGCATTAACAGAAGGCTATAGTGAAAACATTTATCAGATCTTATGCATGGCCCCTTGATCCACCATCGACAAATAATTTGTGCAATGACTCTAAAGGATTGCTACAAGGACTCTTACGGTGAATTTGTGCAACAGCTCTTACGGATTGCTACAATCCTCATTGTGAATTTGTGCAATGACTCTTACGGATTGCTACAAGGATTCGGTGACGGTGACGTGCTATAAAGTATCAACAAATAATTTTTATTTTAAAAGGAATTAAAAAACTTGAAAAAAATTGCTGGCCAAAATTTGTAGTAAAAACTTAAAAATTATTCACATGACCATCATATGAGAAATTAGTCATAATTTATTATAGTTACTGGCTAGAAGTATTTTTTTTTAAATTTTTTAAAAATAATTAATTGCTGGCACATGACTCGATTTTGACAGTAGCATTCGATAAAAATCAGTTTATTAGAACTAAATATGCATGAAACTAAAATATTTGGAACTATATTTATTTTCATCCAAAATTTAGTAACTAAAAGCGTTCACGTTCCAAATATTCGGAGCCAAAATTGTAATTCTTCCAAAATAGTATTTATCTATCAAATTCGGCTTTGCTTCTGACCTTATATATTGGGTCAAGAATGTAGTGCCAACTTGGTAGCGTTAATAAAAATCCCCTGCTTCAATGATGCAAATAAATTAGCTGAAAAAAGAAAAATCAAAGTCAATCATCAAAGCTTTGCACGACTCAACCCATCAAATTTTGCTTTGTGCTGCTGGGTGAGAGATTTGGATTGGATAAAAATCATAAAATAAAGGACGACACAACAACTTTGATCCGAATGCCAGACTAAAGATGGCTGGACATTTGAAGATGTAATTACCAATGTCAAGATGCATTTGTCATCCAAGTTACCGTTAGTCATCTAACCAACCTCTAAGGATAATTTGGTAATTTCAGCACTATTCATGTCAGCAATGGACCCCAATACTCTGCCAGGGAGCTAGCTGAAATATTTAAAACCTGGAGGGGTCTCAGTGCAAGCGTCAGAAACCTCAGGGGAGGTTTGTGAAATTATCCCATATTTTTATATGGCACACTTTCAATTTTGTCCAATTCTTTGTGAACTAGGAGGCAATAACGCGCTTCGCGCGATAGTAATGTAAAATGCCCATTCCATTTCTGAAGTAATAAAAATAACATTTTATTTAGAAATGTACATTTTTAGTATATATATACCATGAGTCTGAAGGTTTGTTGATATTTCTTGGCTACGAACTTTCATGGAAGTTGCTAAATTTCTAAATTTAATGGAAGTGCTTTGGAACTTCCAAAGCCTGAATTTCTAAATTTGCTAAACTTTGCTAAACTTCCAAAGTCTGAAATGCAAATTTAAATTTCTAAATTTTTAATAGGAACTTCCAAACTCTGAAGTTTTGTTAATGCAAATTTAATGGAGCATTTTTCTAAATTTAATATATACCAGCCATTTGTTTTTTGTAACCAAAGGTAGGATCAACTTATTGCTAAACATCAAAGTTTAATAAGTAATGCGTTGGAACATCCATTATGAAAGCTTCAATCGTTAAACAACAGTAGGAACTTGCTAAACATTAAATTTGCAGTGCTTTGGAAGCATTTTTCTAACCAGAACTTTTTTCCATTAAGAACATAAATACAACAAATGCCGTGCATTGCGTTGAAGCAGAATCAGCGTAAATCAGATGTGCCATCAAATGGAAAATGCAAACTGCCATGGAAACAACTTCTCTATTCCTTTGCGGTCCAAACACCAGCACAGCAAAGGGAGTCTTGGATTGTGGAATAAAAAGCAATATCTGGCCATTGTTTAGATCATGATCAATAAAAAAACGGTTTCAGTTTTGATCAAAACATCTATCGGTCATACCAACATGATAATATTTATGACTATTGTAAGAGTTATAGTCGTCGTACTATCTTCATTTAGCCTTAGATTCGCAAATTCTGGCAGATCCTATAAATGTATGAAAAAAAATTGTGATAAGTAAATACACATATGTACAAAAGAAAGAGAGTTAATAAGGTTAGAGAATGCAAAACTATACCAGCTTGTACTTGTACTTTGATAGATAAAATTGATAGAAGCAATTGAATGTAGTCCAGTCATGTTTTAGGAATGGATTCATAGATGAGACAATACGATGGAGAACTGATTCTGAGATTTCATGATCTGTTTATAAAGTAACAAAAGAAACCATATCAGCCATAATAAATACCGTCTAAGCAAAAAATATATATATATGGTAGTAATAAATACCGGATTCTAGGACCTCATGAATTGTCCTTAGTCCTTGTAAGGAAGTAATGGTAGTAAAACAATCCTTTCATCATGGCTGTTGCTCGTCTTCTCAGCGAATTTTCGTCTTTGGAGGCCAGAGAAGCTTGAAATACACAAAGTGAAATTCAATAAGACACTTCACACTAAAAATGACATTACTTGTTTTGTATATAAGAATGACATTAATTGTTTTGTATATAAGAAGTCATTTTGTTTTAGACACATTAACAATTATGATATACCCAACATTTTTATAGGTTATTATACAAACGTCATAAAAAGAAAACCAAGACCTAAATTGTGGAACTGATTATAAATTAATTACTGTGGAAAGTATATTTAAACTATTAATCTAATCTAGGATGAACACAAAAAAATGAAAAGTAATGTGCAAAAAAAAGGTGGTCAAAGAATTGAACTTATTTCAGAAATAATGAACCAAATAAAGAATCAATCTTAGGAAAGCTGTATGGTCTCGTCTTACATTAATTTCAACTTTGTTCTCTATATGATTTCTTGATTCTTTACCCCAAAGTCTTTTCTCTCCCATCAAGAATGCTTCAGAAATTATATGATCAATACATACCTAGCTATTACAGAATGGCAACAAACTGAAATGGCAACAACCTAGCTATTACAGAATTTCTGTGCTTGAGTCCTCTAACAACTATAACTACATAATACACATTAACTAAAAAACATCCAATGAAACTGCACTCATAATCAAACGACAATGCCTAACATAGGACAGCAGATTCCTTCCTCTTTACTGCTTAGCCACATGAGCAGTCAGTTCAGCATTCTGCAGCAAAAAATCAGAAGCATTCAAAATCATTCAAAATAACCAATGAATTCCTAGTCTGCACACACTATTTATTCAGTCAAAAGCATTCAAAATCATTCAAGAAGAATAAGTGTAATCATTCAAAACAGCACTCACACAAGTAACTTATGAAGATGCCTTTATACACAACCACCGAAGCAAAAGTAACATCTCGCAGAAAGAACCAAACACAGAAGAACATCATTTACAGGATATAAAACAGCATTTGTCAAAGTCTGAAACAAAAAGAAATCTCTAATACAATTCATCTTGCTTTAGCATTCCAATTGATCACTTTCAGAAAAATGAGCTAAAGTAATAAATTTCCACGAACAATAGAATAAGTTAGTATAACAAAGAAATCATAATCTCAAATTCAGAGGCAAAAAACAAAAAAAAAAAAAGAACCCTTGTTTTGACAAATATAACAAGTATGATAAAAAACTGACAAATGTCGTCATGGAGCGGAAGACATTTCAAATTCAGTTAAGGAAAAATAACTGATACAGCCTTTTTTTATTGTTTCCATCCCACACATCAACATAACCATCACAACCTCAAGTAGCAAATGTACCATAGCTACAAATCAAAATCAGTTTTGAGACAGATTTTGGCAAAAAGCTCAAGGTATTCAATCAATAGATAATTGTAATAGATCCAACTCAATCACTCAATATATCTAGAGTTGATAAATCAAGCACATAGGCTTATAAATCATTCATGGATACATTGACATTATAAATCATTCTCTTTTGTTTGTTCATTCCAACTCAATCATTGACATAGCTACCTTAAGAATACATGGATCGGCTCCACTTATCAAGTTCAAAAAAACAGATGTTTCCTAAAGACGCATAGTTATGATGAGAAGCTTGAAGGTCGTGATTGCCTGGGGAATATCTAGAGTTGAAAATTGGAAATCAGGAAAGATAAATTCAGGTTCGATCGCTTATTCGTAAGCTGTTAAAGTTTTGAACTGTCCCCATAATTGATTGTTTTTGCCTTGTTTCTGCAATTATCTCTCATATTTGTTTACAGTAAGCACCATCACATCAAGTAAAGAACACTTCTCTTGCACCCTATATCAATCTGACATGATTCCATCTGGTACTGAGACTACCAAAACCCAAGCTCGTAGCCCAAAGAACCTACAACACTTTGTTCACCATAGCTGAAGACATACTTGGAACAACTAAGGTACCATATACTTTCTTTTTTTTTTCAGTGCATAGGCAGACACAAACATATAGAGTTATAATAAATCACACACACCTCAAACAAAAGAGAAATGAATTCTTTCATATCTTGATAAACACTTCAAATGTATACTAATCCTATGAACAACCAAGTAAAATGACATTGATATGGTATGAAGAGACATACACATCAGCTTGCATGTACACTTCAGAACCAAGATTGATCAATGTCCTCAGACTGGTTACACTATTTTTCTCCAATGTCTCTATATTTCTTTTCCAATCAGAGCTACAAGAAGTTAAGAGAAAAAAAAGTAAAGAAGCATTGCAGGTCAAAGGGAACTTGTGCAAAGAAGTAGGAGTCAGAGCAATAAAGGTGATAGTATCAATACCCAAATGCAAGAAAACTTAAAAGGATACAAAACTTTCTGTTGTTCAAATACCTCGTTCCTGCAAAAGAGATACCCAGAATATTAGAAATTTGGCATATAACAGAAATTCGTCTCCAAATTCGCAACTTAATAGTGAATATTAAACAGAAAGTAGGTAAGTACTCCCAAGCTGTTCAATATATTTCTTATCTGCATTGGCTAGGCGATCTTGAAACTGCGCCCACTCACTTCTGCATCTCTCTCTTACCTACCAAATTAGATAGAAAAGAATTCAAGCTAGTTACTTGACGTTTGGACAAATCTAATGAAATTCAGTTCAATGCAAAATCATGCAATTCAAACAGAGTGCAGATATAAGACCTATGAATCCTAATTTAAACATGATTGTTAGAATGTAGGTGATATAGAATAACTCAGATTACCATAAAATTGGATGAAGAAGCTTTCAGAGTTGACTTTTGCAAAAAAAATGAAGGACAAAGAAAAGGCCTCAGTAAAAAAATATACAGAAAGGTTGAAATGGAAACCGAACAAGTAACAGCTTACATACCCCTTGCCAAGGAGCTTTTCCATTTTCAGATTGACCCTAGAATCAACGAAGCTGAAGCTGTTAGCATCATTATCAACAAAACAAATCTAAATGAGGGGAAACCAGATCAAGGGACAAGTAGGATAATTGACGTGGAAGAAAAAAATGTAAATAAGGGGGTTGCTGCTAAAAAGTTGCTTATATTATAAATGAAGAACCATTTGCTCAAAAATGGAAATTAAAGTTGAACAGAACAACATTTGCAAACAACTAAACTTCATTATTTTAATCACCTCTAGGAAAAGGAAAAGCAAGTCCCGATGGTTGTAATAAAGTAGTTAACTGACCTGACTTCCCAGAGAAGGAATAACTTGATGAACTATCCACTGAGAGTCAACCACATCAATTTTCTCATGTGCAGGCTACACAGGCAAAATACACTTACAATGAAACTGATAATACGCAGACATCCATTTGAAATAAATACATGTTTTCTAATTTTATCTGTTTTACATGCCACTGCCCGCAGATCTCTCCTTCCAACAGGAATATGAAAAGCAGGTAGACAAGCCTTCTTTTCTAAATCTTTCAAATAATATTGTGATAAGAAACAAATAAAACCACTGACCTCCACACATCTCCTTAGCGCAAAATCCAATCCCCAACCATGCACCAAATCATTCTAGGAATGTTATTGAAAGTAAAAAATCAGTGTGAGCTCTAAGCTGGAAAGAACCAAGGCTAATGAGAGCAGCTAAAAGCAAAAATAGTTGGAGGTACAACAAGGCTTAAAACATACGTATACAAAAGACAAAGTTAGAGAAGGGAACCTGAATCGTATGCCAAACACATCGCCAAGCATCCCGCGAGAAAACAGGAGCCATAATTTCCACAAAGCTGAATTCAAAAAGGAAAAACACAAGGAAAATTAGTTGAAGGTAAATGTTGAAGCCACCCCGATCTTTTATACTTTTCTTCACTATATATCTCCATTTTAAGGGCCTGAGCATAAATCATGGGTCATAACTCAACCTACAAACACTACCATAAAATCAAAATTTTCAACAATAAGACGTGCTATTGCTATGAGATGTCTTGTGGCTAAGCTCTTCTATTTGGCAATGGTCAACCTGATGAAGAAATATGACCATCAGAGAAAGTGAGCTTCTTGTTTCTGGCAATTTCAACTTCCAAGACATGTAAATAAACAATAGTTTCCCAAGACAACATTTTTGTTGTTTTTCAGTTTAATATTATTATTTTCTTGGGTTAAAGAGATTGACCTTCGGAAAACCAAACAATCAATCTCTGGAAAATTTAAATCTTTGGAAAACCAAACAATCACTCGGAAGAGAAAAAACAAATCCTTTTCAAGTTTGGATTATAAGAAAATAAAAACAAGAAAAACAAACTGCATGGCTCCCAAATTGCCACTCAGTCAATCAAAAGAACAATGTATCAGTTCAGAACTACAAAATTCAATCTATTATGATAAGTGAACCCTGCTCAATTACAATACAATCTCATCTCATACTACCTGGGGTCAGTAACTTGCTACCATCTTCTTTCCCGCAGGTGTCTCTAATACCAGAAATTAATGTTTCTTCCATTTCTCTCCTTTTTGAATGCGAAGAATTAGCATAAAAGTCCTTAAAAAGTTATTCATAAAGAGGTTAACATATTTAGTTAACTCTACACTCATGACTGTAAGCGTTGGCAGATTTATTAGTTTCAGATACTAAATGATCCTCAGATATCCATTAAATATAGAAGAGATAAAAAATTCAGACAAACCAGCAATTCTAAAGCCCAAACTGCTAGCCGAAAAATTGTGGAATTTTACACAAATTATACCAAAACCCCCAATTCTCTTATAGCTAAATATAATAAATTACCAAAATTTACGAAACCCACAATGGGTATTAGGGCAAAATAATTCCCAAGGTCGGTTTTTTTCTTGAAGTGGTTCGATTATTAAAGAGGGGAAACAACAAAAGAGAACAAGATTTCCTAATGTTGTGCACCAATTAAGGACGATACACTATTACTCCGTTGAATGTAGATAGAAATTCAGATTAATTGAAACAAAAGAAAAAAGAGCGAGAGAGAGAGAGAGAGATTGAGATATTGAGAGAAGGAAGAAAGTTGAAGAAAATATACCTCCGGTTGCGAGGTTATTCTCGGTCTGAAGAACCTCCGGGAGATGAGGCACTTGTGATACTGGGTGTCGGAGAGGGAGATGCCCAATTCCATTTCATTTCTGACCTGAGTGAATGCCCTGAAGACGGAGACGGAGAGGAGACGTAGCTTAGCCAACGGCGGTTGATCTAGACAACCGAAACCCTGAGAACGCGAAGGACAGAGGTTTGACAGGCCTTTGGCGGCTCGAGAAAGGAAACAAAGAAAACAGGAAAAAACATCAGTTTCAGGCGAAGGATCAAGCAGAAAGGTTACAGCAAAGTATGCATCTAACCGGAAAGGAAGAAAGACCCAAGGCCACAGCTCTAGTCAGTTAAGCTAGCCAACGAGCGGGGACCGTACCAGTGGTGGGTGACGACGAACCTGGGAACACCGAAACCTAAACAACAAGGAATGAAGAGAACCGGATATTTTAGCAGGCTCGTGCACCAGGACGCAGAGCAGGCGGATAAGCAAGAGAGAAGCACTGTCCAAAAGAAGCAGACAGAAAACGCAGCGGCAAGAAAAATCACGTATTAGCACCAGATAGAGAAAGAAGCTTTTAATGCGCAGCAGGAGGCACATGGAGTACCAGCAGAGGAGAAGAGCCGCGCGATGCGCGAAGAAAAACAACGCTCTCAATCACATGCGCGGCACGTGAGAGGACGACGAAAACTTCCAGGTCATCACAGCCCTTCGGCTCTTTATCTACTTATCAACATAAGTAGATAACGTCCCACCAGCATTCAGCCAAAACTTTCGTCGTCCTCTCACGTGCCCGGCATGTGGATTGGAAGTATCATGTTGTTCGCGCATCGCGCGTCAGCTTCCCATCTGGTTTCGCCAGCCAGTGTCCCATGTGACCGTCCGTCCTTCTTTCTATGCGTCTGCTGCATTTGCTTTCTTCCCGCTCCCTTCTCTCTCCAACTGCATTTACTTCTCCCTGTTGCTCTGCCACTTACCCGCATGCTCTGGAGCCTGCTGCAACATTTTGTTGAGCTCTGGTATTCGGTTCTCCCAAGCCATAGCCTTCTTACCGGCCAAGGAGCTGCCACCTTCGCTGTCGGCTGCATCGGTACAGATCTTGTGCCGTTCGTTGGCCTCTCCTCCTCTTTTGTTGTAAGCTCTCTTCTTTGTCTTTTATTTTCCTTTCCAGTGAGGTCCGATCCTCTCTTCAAGTTTCCTCTGTTCATTTTTTTTCCCTGGCGTTCCTATTTTTTTCCCTTGTCCGGTGACGTGCAGCTTTCTGTTTTTTTGCTCGGTCACTGTCTTCTTTCCGCCCAAGGAGGTGCCATCTTCGCTGTTGGTTGCAGCTGTCCGGATCTTCTTCCATTCGTTTGGATCTCTTCCTCTTCCTTCGTTGTAATCTGTCCAGTCAGCTTCAGTCCTTGCTACAAGTTTCCTTCTTTCTTTTTTTTTTTTTTTTTTTTGCCTGGAATTCGTATGTTTTGACGCCATCATCGCCGACCTTCAGTCCCAGCTTCAGTCCCTCGATGCCTCCCTTTCCGACGCTTCCGACAAACTCACCCTCGCTGACCAAGAAAAGGTCCGATTCTTATAACCAACCCGACCAAGTGAGCACTAATAAAAAAAAAAGGAAAGCCTGCCAGTCTATATTTTTACAATGAAAGAGAAATCCATGACCCGTATCAGTTTTCCTATGCCTCGCTCTCCCTTTTTTTCTTTTTTTGTCAATTTAATCTATATCTCAAGAAGACATGGAAAATTAAGTTCATGCTTCTGAATATCATTGATAAGCTCTCTGTGTTCGTAGAAAATTCAGCCCAACTCTTTGTGCCCGTTTGTCTAACCTCCTTTCCTTGCTTAAGCATGTCACTCATCATGAATATGAAGTCGAAACAGCAAATGGAAGAACAATTACAAAAAAAGGAAAACCAAAAGTACTGTAATGTTTGCGGTATGTAATTTTGATTTCTGATCAGTATGCATTGTCGTAGGGGAACGATTCTTTATGTGTATATTTCTTGGTTATGTGTAATTGTCTCTATTACTACAGGACCCAGGCAGACATAAAAAACTAGAGACACAAAAGTTGTTACACCTAGAGCTGTTACTAAGGTAATTAAACAATGAACTAGGATAAATTTTCCTTCTCAGTGTCATCATGCTGGTTGTTTTAGCTTTTGATCTTTTGTGGAGTGTCAGTCATGTCTCACCCAACAAGAAGTAGGATTTTTGCTATTTTTGATGAATGGGGTGTACTAGACAGACAATAATCGTGGTCACAAAATTCTCTTACCTTGAAATGGTGTTACTCTTATTCATATCATTTAGGATTAAGTTGTGATTACTAATAGATTAATGCAATGAAACAGAGCAATTGGTTAACCTGAGCAAGGTAAAGTAGAAACAAGGAGAAATTTAACTGTATGTGATGAAGTTTGTCTCTGTACACTGCAAGATGCCTTGTGATTACGGTCACATATAATTTTATGTTATGTGTGCTGACATTTGTGATTGGAATTTCATGATAGGGAACAAAGGGACAAGTTCATACAAATTCATCTAATATAGGTGATCTGTTTTCAGAAGGATCTCTGAATCCTTATGCAGATGATCCCTATGCATTTGATTAGAGGTATCCCCGTTTCATGTTAGTTCTATTTGAATTGCAGTACTTTAATTAATGTGCAGTTGACCTTTCCTGTATTGGGTTAATAGTTCACGTACTCGGGTGCAAGATTTACTCCATAAACTAGACAATTATTTTTATTTTTTTGCTACTGGAAATGGAATGGGACAGCTTTTGATTGTTAAACATTTTCCTTTTTATTAAGTATGAAGTGTTTGGGTCGACTGTGAAGAAGCCAGTGCAAAAAAAAAAAAAAAAGGATTTGTCTACAAAAAAGGTTGCTTCTACCCACTGATTATTCTATAAGATTTATTGCATGCATTGTTTTCTATGTCCTGAGCTACATTAGACGAGGAAACTTTTTTAAACGTTTAGCTTGTTCAATATTGATTAGGTATAATGCTATGAGATCATTTTGGTAAATCTGCAGTCTGGCATGAATACTAAATGTTCAGTTGTTCTTGATACTGCTAAGGAGCTGTTTCTCTTAGTTAAGTTGTTTGTAGTATCAAATCACTGCTGCATCTGGATTTTGGCAGGAACTGTATCATGCAATAGAAGGCTTTGCAAATGGAGGATGAAACTTTTTAATTCTAGACATTTTAGCACACAAAAAATGTACATTGCAACTGTAATAATGTTCCTTCATTGATAAACAAGAATTAAATGTTTGCATGTGTCTGAAATGCGAAATTGCCTGTTTTCGTGGCTCCAAAACTCTTATCTGGAAGTTTGATTGCTATAATAACACAGAGCTCTTGTTAAAGATGTATGGCCAATATTGCATTCCCCTCTGCATCTTGATTTTTTGTGAAAAGAAATTATGTTGATTTTTCGTGTCACTTTTGTTTGTGCCTCCAATCTTTTACCCCAACGGTATCGTGCCACGTGAGAAAACTAAAATCAATTGAGGGTGTCTTGTCAACATATAAGACTATTTGTATACCTTGGTTGAGGTCAGGGAATGTATGATTTCCCTAGGTGCATCGTGGATTTGTTATTAGTTATTAGTTTTTAAAAACTCTATGTATTCCTTGGTTTCCTTTTTTTTGGTGGTTAATGTTATTTTTGTTATAGAGCATGGATCTGGCTCACTTTTCATGATGATACTGGGTGTGTAAATGTTATTGCATTAGGTGTCGAAGCTAAGAAGCTGATTGGTGTTAGCGCGCTTGACATGTTTGAGGCTGCTGACGATGAGGTTATGTGTTGCTCTATTCTCATGCATAGATACCTGAACTTGGAGATTGTTCAACTATGTAGCCAGGTCATTTGGATTTGTCATTAATGAACTTTCTTTTATGCAATTTAAATGGTCTGATTTGTGTACATGGATTCTTGAATTGCCACTTTATTTCGATTCAACCTTTTTGCAGACCTTTAAGTTGTACCATCGTGTGGCTTGTCGAATTGAACTGACCAGGCTCCTATGCTATTTTAAGCGTTCATCCGATGTGATCAACAAAGTGACATGCACTAAATACGCTGTTGTTGCTTGCTACCCAGTTTAGAGAGGTTGTTTTTGGATGCTTATTTCTTGTGCTATCTTGTCAGCTCGTGAACTTCTTTGAGCTTGTAGTGGCGTCGGTATTAGTTTTGAGGCTTATATGCTATTGATACTAATAGCATTTAGTGGTTCTGTTCTTTTTAAAAAATTTTCTTTGGGATGCTTTGTTATGCTGCCAGCTCAGAGCCTTTCTTCTTGGGCTGAGTTCTTAGGCAGCAGTAGTATTTGGAATAGTGATATGTAGACTATAGACCACATGTTTGTTACTTAGACGATTCATTCACTGGACAATTACTAAACTTTGTTTTGTTTCTGCGTTTCTAAAGCCTAGATCTTTGTATAGTTCTTTAGCCTTTGGAGTTTTAAGCAACAAACATTCCTTCTGTCCTAGCTGTTACTTTTGTTATTCCAACTTATTACATCTAATAAAGTCAATGTCCTTTTTATTTTCAAAATTATATACCTGCTACATATGTTTTATGGGCATCCATAATAAATTATCACCGCGCAGGGCGCGGTTCATGCCTCCTAGTGTTGAAAAAAAATGGCATGGAGAGGAGTCAATTGTACAGTACAATTTCGGGTGCAGTTGCACTACATTTTCTCCCATAGAGATTTGGAAAGGCCACCTCTACTGTCTACTCCATCAGTGTGTGTGCATTGCCCTTACAGTACCTTCTTCTTTTGGTTGGTAGACGAGTTTTTTTAGATTTTTTTTTTTGAAAATATACTACTGTAATTTACTTATGGTAGAATTTGTAAAAAAAAAAAAAAAAAAAAAAAAATTTAAAGATGCTATTGTAATTAAAGTTATTAAAAAACAAGTGAAAAAAAAATTTGGCAAAAATCCTGTTTGCCAAATAGGGGTATATTATATATGCGTGTGCGTGAAGAAACTGAAACAATCAAAGGGATATTTAGCTTAACTTCACGTTGAATAGAATAGTGCTAAAACAAAAAGTTGCAAAATGTGTAAAGGATAATACTTGAATATAATATATGTTTGAATTCCAGTAAAGAAGTGCGAAATTGACACATGATGGATTCAATACTTTGACGTGACACCAAATGCTGCTGCTAGTAGGTGAAAAAGGAAATCAACTCAACTTCGGAGTTCGGACTCAGGAGAGTTGCTGGGAAGTGAAATGATGATATCATATCATCATCAAGTAGGGTAGCGTAGGTTGCTCCTCTCGTACGAATTTGTTACAGAACAGTAGTTTTCTTTCAAGTGAATGAGGAGATGGTCCGTCCGTCGAAGACTTCTACCGTAATAGGATTGGGAAGTCATTTACTATTATGATGCGAAGTTAATTCATGCCGCCACACAATAATAATTATAAAACGAACGTAATTCGATTTCCACCATTTAAACCAAACAAATTCCACAAGGAATTCTTTGTAATTCATTTCTTATTTGGGTAGAAATTGCTGGTTTTTAAACTATAAAATTCCCGGCTGAGAAGCCTCTTAATTTATATTCCCATAATTATCGACCAAAACAAAGACCACAACCCACTACTTCCCCACGGTCCCTACACGCATGTGAACAAACACAGAGATGTTCGCATCACTGTATTTAATGCTTAAACTCCGGATTGGAAATTACGCATTTCGTCTATCATCTCCTCCTCCATTTCTCGCTGCCCTTTTCTCTGATTTTGTCCCTTTCCCCTCTCTCTCTCTCTCTCTGGGCATGGTGGTGGTTGAGTTTATAGGTTGTCGTCGGTTACAAAATCATAAGATGTAGAAAACAACGTTTGTATTGCCCATTTTAAATATTCAGAGAGAGGGGACAGCAGAATATCAGCGAGAGAGACACAGAGAGAGAGGTAAATGAAAAAAGGTATGGAGATTGCAAGAATCAGGGAGTTGCTGCTTCTTTGGTGTAGAGCTCGAAGCACCCGTGTGGCCCTTGTGGGTGGAAACCACACCGCTGCCAGATTTTGCACCCGCTAAATCCCTCTTTCCATCCCCCTTGGCTTTGATTTTTTCCTGATTATCAATTATAATTAAGATTTCTTGATTTTGGGCTTTATTATTGCTCAAAAGTCTGCATCTTTGCTCACAGCTTTTTTGGTGAAGGTGCATTGGAGGATTAGTAGTTGAAAAAAGTTGCACGAAGATCAAAAATCGTTCTTTTTTGTTGTGAAAACATGGAATTGGCTCAAGGGTATAGAACCAGCGCCGGCATCAAGGCGAAGGAGCCGAATGGTGGTGGGACGGGATTGAATTCCCATACCCTTTTGGTAATTAAGCTGCCTGATTCGCAGGTTTTGCAGATTGTATCCAGGTCGTTGTTTTTGGCAATCATTTTGCTCACATTGCCTTCAATTGGCTCTGTTTTAAGAAGCTCTTCCAATGCTTCTAAGGTGAACTCTGATCTGGCTAATTTCAAAATATTGCCTGTTCTTTTTCGTGATTTGGCCGACGAAGGCCTGATCAAGAGGGGTCAGAAAGGCCTCATCGTGGGTTCTAGCCTTGATGATTTGATGAAAGATTTGGACTTCGTGAGTGACAGTGATAATATTGTGGCCTCTGAAACCAGCTTGGAGGACTCCATTCCGAATGAAACTTTTGATTTCGTTTTCAGCTTCAGCTTCAAGAATGCTGATTCCGTCGACCGCGTTCTGAAGAATGGCGGCATTGTGATCACAAAGTTGAGCAATGATCCTTCAAGATTGATGCAACGACAATCAAATTATAGGATTGTGTATCTGCGACGGTTTGAGAATACCATGGTTGCAATGAGGAAAATTAGCAGTAAAGATGGCTTCACTAATTCAGCCAAAAGATCGCACAAGACGCCAGGAAAATGGCATTGAAAGGCTTAGAGGATGCTTTGCTCGAGCCTCCCAGAAGGACATTGTTGAAGTACTCGAGAGATGAAATGAGGAAAATCAAATTCCTTCCTCATCTGTTAGGGGACTCCCACTCCCTGGCAAGTTATAGACGAAGGATCTTGATTTCAGATGACAAAAATGGTTTTGAAGGTTGGTTTCACAACAACTATCCAACCGAAAACCAACACTTTGAGACATACAATCTAGAGATTACTGCAGAAAAATTGTCATCAAGAAGCATGGTGAATCCTGCTGCTGGGATATCAGGTTGGCTGAAGAATAATGTGAGGCAAGAAGACTTCGTTGTAATGAAGGCAGAAGCACAAGTTGTTGATGAGATGATGGAGGAGAAGACAATCTGCTTGGTGGATGAGTTGTTCTTAGAGTGCAAGAACCACTTTCAAGATGATGGAGTGGGAGACGAAAATGAAAGCAAGAGGGCCTATTGGCAGTGTTTAGCTTTGTACGGAAGCTTGAGAGATCAAGGGGTTGCCGTGCATCAATGGTGGAATTGATTGCAATCTAGCGACCTTTTGGATGTCTGATTATGTTGCACCTTGTTTCTGGAATTTCATGGATTTGAATTGGCAGGGAAAGTGGCCTAAAATCTTATTGGCCGCTTGATTTTCTGTCTCTGATTCTGTGCCAATTGTGTTTTAAGGAATTTGATACATGTAAAGCGTATTGTCTGCTTTGCCAGATTAATCAAAGATGCTGGTACTAAGAATATTCCGAATTTTCCATTGCAGCAAAGAATCATTTCCCCGTGCCTATTTTGTGTTTACTGCCAGAAGCCCTGGCTGTGGGTTTTCTTCATTTTTTGGCAAATCAACCGCATTAGACCTGGAGTTTACATACTTATTTTTTTAGAGCGAGCCTGAGATTGCAAATACATGATAACACTAATATAGAAAAAAAATAAAAGAATAAGGACTATCAATAATTACTACCAAGCCACAACCATTCCCTGCAATGCACCACAACTGCAGCCACATTTGAACAGTTTCTTTTTGACAGAAAAAAAAAAAAAAAAAGAAGAGATGTATAAATATGCAGCAGTGGTGTTGCAAGTTTCATTATCGACTTTTTTGGTGTTAGAAAAGCGAAGACCTATAAACAACAGCTCAATTTTCTCATAGAATAATAACTGCAATAAGCATCTGCCATCGAGAAAAGTATCGAGAAAAATCAAAGAAGAAACCACCAAGAGAAAACAAAAATAAGGAGCTCTAAGTATTATATTCTCTATTTCCTTTTCTCTTGTATAAATAGACAAGAGTCACAGGGCGTATATGTCACAGAAAACTCAGAATATACAGACAGATTCTACAGATTGGGGACGTTTTTCCATCCCCCAGGTGCTAGGAACCCCAAGAAAGGAGAGAAGCGAGAAAAAATAAAAATAAAAAGGTTCTCACTAAGGGATTCTCTAAATTAACTGGAATGAAGAGGCACATCAAAAAAAATCCTACCTATCAATCTCCATGTTCAATACCAGCTTCAGCTTCCCTTAAGTCAGCATCATTCAAATCTAATAAATAGTCACAAAGCTCCAGAAGCTGATCAGCCAATGGAGGAATACCTGGGTTGCGTCTATCATTGTACGCATGGGCATTGAAGGTGATTTGCCATATGTCATGCCTAAATTCTTCGCTTCTTTTATACTCCATCCTCCTCACCTTTTCACGGATTGTGGACAGATCCATCGTCGCTTTATGATATCAAGGTAGTCAGGAGCGTCCTTCTTGGAAACTGGCTTTAAAAAAAGATAGGAAATCTCTTGCTTCTCCTTGAGAGTCTCCACAATGCTTTCCAGGATGTTTGACAAGCCAACCTGAAATAAAATCAAGATGAGCTTTACATGCAAATCTACATTTTCAACCAAGATTAAAGAAAAACACCAGCATGAGCAGATAGATTTGCTGCTTTACTAGAATCCAGTCCAAGCAAGATTAAAGATAATGCAAAGCATCCCAGGAAACTTAACAGCTATCATGCCAATCCAGTCAAAATAATAACAATGTAGAATTAAAGAATTACAAAGATGGAGTACAAGCCTACAACAAGATCACATCACTCTTGTGCATTTGTTTGAGATTGTGTGATTGGCAAGCATCTAAACAAAAAATGACATTTTTTGACAGAAATGTCAGATGACTAGCAAAATATTGTTTTCAAAGCAAAGCAATTACCACACCAAAGAACCTCCTTCCGCCCCTCCCCTGCCAAACAAGAAACATCAAAAGAAAATTGCCCAACAAATTTAAGTTAAGATAAACAGTCCTTTTAGCTCTTCAACCAAAGTCAGAGAAAAGTAAAATTATACAAGACTTGATCTTGGAATTTCTCAGCCCATCCCAACCACTCTGTAAACATGTAACGAGACCTTTTGCGCAGTTCCCTAGCCTTACTCCTACTATAAGAATCAAAACAGTCCTTTTAGCTCTTCAACCAAAGTCAGAGAAAAGTAAAATTACACAAGACTTGATCTTGGAATTTCTCAGCCCATCCCAACCACTCTGTAAACATGTAACGAGACCTTTTGCGCAGTTCCCTAGCCTTACTCCTACTATAAGAATCAAAACTCATAGGCACAAGCTTACACCATTGCACTCTTAGGAATGAATTAAAGCCTAACAAAATAACCCCAGAATAAAAACAACCATACTAACACCTCAACACACACCATCCATTGAATGATGGTAGCAAGCTCCAAATCATTGCTCAGGTTTTCACAGGGTGGGGGGAGGAGGGGTGAGGGTGAGAGTCCTATGGATGAAGCAGATTTCAACATCTGTAATCATACAAAAAACAAAATATTCCCAATGTGAGGAAAGGTTATTTAACATCATGGAAAAACTTACCTCTCCCCCTCGTCTGCGCTTTGTTGCTGGGCCATAGCCAGCACTGTATCTTCCGGTATCAGGTCCTGGTTTCCTCTTTGCTGTTCTGTCTGGTATCCTCCTGTCATTTCTTCTGGGAGGAAAATCATCCAGGTAATCATCTCTAATTTCAGGTCTTTTCTTCTTTTTCTTCTTTTTTTTTGCCTTTTCACGTTCTTCTTCTTCTCTCTCCCTGCGGATGGTTTTTCATATCGTCTTATCTCGGAAAATCTATCCCGCTCTTCCATTGCCCTTTTCTGTTCCTCCAAATACCTTCGGGCTCTTTCTTCTTTTTGTCTGATAGCAAACCTCCTCTTCTCCTCCTCTTCCAACCATCTCTTCTCCTCTCTGTTCTTCTTGCTTGCTGCTTGGTCAGTGAAATATTTGATTTCTCGACCCTATGCTTATCAACACTCGTCAATTCAACAATTTTTTTTTTTTCCGGTACTCAATTCCACTACTTCCTTCCTGACTTACGTCATCCACATTTATAACCTCCTTTGGCCGTTTGATTATGATTTTCTTGCGAGGCTGGTCTCTATCAGACTCTGTTGGTGGCTTATAACAATGGAAGGCTTTTGAGACTCAACCAGCATATCGTCCGGTTTAGTTTTGTTTGAAAAATAATTTTGTTTACTTTGACAGCAGATTTATGTACTGTTCAGCATCTGAAGTTACAGGTTTGTCAGAATTCTGTGATGTGGCAGGAGTGAGCTTATCGGGGGGTTTGTCAGTTGTGCCACATTTGACCTTCAGAATTTTTGCCTTTGTACTAGACTTGTCATCCTCGTGGGCTTCAACCACAGCAATTTTGGTTGCACTTTTCTGTATGAGCTTCTTTGTAGAAGTTTTCTGCTGGGGTTGATCTGCCTGATCCAGAATACCAACTTTCCCTAAGTTCTTCTCAGCTCGTTGTTTTCAGCACGTGTTTCAACATCTTCACATATTTGGGGGCAATTTTTATTAGTCCTCATATGACCAAGCTGATACATGGAATAAAAGGGGGGAAAATCTCTTAAGATCCAGAGCTGTAAGCAAAGTAACAAGATTCATGTATCAGCACAAACCTGACCACAAGCCCCACAGACAAAACTCTTGCTGATTTCTTTTCCTTGACAATCTGGGTGGCAACAGAAAAATTTCTACGTTGGTAGCATGTCACTCAAATCTTAGAGACAATGGAGACTCAAACAAGCTTGCTAGTTTTGTAATATTATGCACACGGGGTTAGGAGGGAATGAAACTCATATAAGTACTTATATATGTATGTATATTTCAATAACAATCAGCTCAAATGGAATTTGACTACCAGCATGGTATAAAATGAATGAAACACAGAATTGTTCCCATCACACAGCAACAAGACAGGGACATCCAGTAACAAAGAGAGATACCTTAATTCCATCACCAATATTTTAACTTTCTTTTTTAGAAGCTCCATCTGTTCAATGTCATTCTTCTTCTTTGCTTTAAGTTTCCCGGATAAGTTCTTTTTAGCTGAAATATTCTCGTCCTGCATCCAAACCAAGGCAAAAGTAAAATTGCTGATTTTCTTGACTTGAATTTGGGGACACATTTGCAATTACTGTCAGTATAATTTGTGTGACTTCAAGATCCATTCATTCCATGGTAAAACTTAATCACATCATCTTGATGATATGACAATAAAAGCCTAAGAAAGTTTGTCTGCTTAAGCAACCAAAGAATACACAAATTGAGCCACGAAGCAAAATCACGGAAATTGTCCTAGAAAGCTGACTGCTCTACTGTCAACTTTCTGACACATCATCATACAGAACACCATGCATCCTGCAACCTCCACCAGTCAATGTCACTGACTATCTCCTCATTCTAATGAATGCCAGGCCCGGTGGGTTAAAGCCAACAAGAACAAGAGAGCATTCAATCACCATCATTATTTCCCACAGCCCATGTTTCTGCTTTCCAGAAAAGGAAAAGCGATAACATACAACCAATTAACTGTGTATCTCTGAATTAGAACAAGTATGTTACTTGTGGTGGAAATCATTGCAAGTGTTTAGCTTAAAAGAGACTCCAGGAAAATATTCAGCCAATAAGACATGAGTTCAAGAAGTCTTGGAGGCCAAAAATAGGAGGAGGCTTCTGGTGAAGCTACAAGGCTATAGAGCAAGTTTTGATTCTGGACGCAAGCGGTTAGACTAAACAGAGGTCTGATGTCAAGGGAGGCTAGCTACCAGTTTGGTGACTTGTATCAAATATGTAGCTAGGATACTTAAAGCATATAGCCATTTTCACAGCCAGTATTCATGAGTTATGAGAGGTAAGTTGGAAGTTCTTGTAGGTGCATGATATGTGGTATGTAGGAAGACCCTCAAATTTGTCTGGTTGTCCCAAAGAATGCCAAACATTTGGATCAAATTGGAAGGACACACAAAAACTTCAAAAAATAAATGAACAATACAAAGAAACTGAACCTCTTTACGATCTCTAGTGGCATTTCTCCTTTGCTAGAGGTTGTCCATCTAGTTGTATGTTTCTCTTGATAACATTGTTCGTTTTCTGTATTCGCTCAACATTCTCAACACCAAGCTTCAATTGCGAGACTGAACCCAACCGAACTTGGTCCCCTCCAACTTTAACTTTTTTCTTCTTCTTTCTATCAGCTTCATCATCTGCAGAATCAACTTTATCAATCAGAAATGGGAAAGTTTGTGGTTCAATATTTACATCAGTGAAAAAGACTTGTAACTTCTCATTTGATGCACATTTTCTTTTTACTTTAGAAACTCCAGAAGACAACTTAAAACTACAACCACATGAAATTGTTGAGTAACTTGGACCAACTAAAGTGATTCCTGCTTTGTGTCTATCAGAGGACAGAAACATGTCCAGATATCACAACTGTTTGACAAGTCATCAATTCATGTTACAATTTGCTTGTCAAGGGATTGGACAACTCACAAGGTACAAATATTTCTCTGGGTTTATTCTTCTATTAACTTCTTTTAGTTCGGTTGATTAATTCTAGGAATAATATAAGACCACCAACAAACCAGAAGCATCATATTCTTCCCTGCATTAACCTGTTGATCAAGGTCCTAGAATGAAGCAAAAACATTGATCTATCCAATACAGAGTATAAACATCACTCACGCACATCCAGAACCACACACAGAGAGGGACCCTGCAAAACTGACTCAGAAATTAAAGGACAACGACAAGATGAAACCATTTAAATCCTTATTGTACTGAATGTATTTCGTCATCAGGCATTCCATATAAACCACCACCACTTTGAGTAAATAATCGTACTGAAGAGCTGTCTAAAATCTTACATCTGTATTTTATATGACCAGCAGCTATTGAGCTGCAAGAAGAATGATAACTAGAAACAGTAAAAGTGATTATTACATACCATCCATAAGCATTCTGCACAACTCAGCTGCTTCAGCAGCCTCATCTTCAATTTCCTCCTCTGCCTGTGCTTGGAAAGGTCGCCTTCTCATCTTAATCCCCTTAACCCCATCAATGATATCATTCTTGGAAACATTATTACCATCTTCACCATCTTCACACTCTTCTGCATCCAGAAGATTTTCCAAATCCCCAGCAAAGGAATCTAGGTCACTGTTGGCTTCAGAGTCACTTTCATTTTCTTCACCCTCAACAGCAGAAAGACTTTGAACTTGTCGATCCATATTTCCTGACATTTTTCTCTCGTCTGCTGCTGCAGCTGCATAAACGACATTCTTTGGCCACGAGCATACTTGCTGATTGTTGTTGGATCTACCTTGACCCCTGATGCAGCTTGCTCACTTGAAAGCTTCCGAATCATAGCAATTCGATGCCACCTAGTCTGCTTAGCTATTTGCTCCTCTGGTACATTGAATTTGAGGAGAACCTACAATATGCATGCCAACATCATCTCATGTACATCAAAATAAATAACCCATTCTTTAGGGACAGAAGACAAAAACATGCAATGTGTCAGTATTACATGCAAGACTTATGGTTCTAGGATTGCATTTATGAGTTTTTTTTTTTTTAAATCAATGTGTATGCTGGTTTTATGTCAGAAATATAAAGAGTCAAATACCATGCAATGCCCGGCACGAGCACATCTTTATGGTAGTCCAATAGTATGAGAACAATATGAACAAAGGAGAATTAGGAAATTTCACCTTTTCCATGTTTGTTTCCTTGAACATTTAAAGAAAAAGTCCAACTTAAGTTTAACAATGTCTCTATGTACTTTTGATCAAATCAAATGGCTAACCAAACAAGAAAATGTTGATTAAGTTAAGTTTTTAATATCAAAGAAACTAATCAGAATCAAATTCAGCCTTGTACAAGTAGCTAGAAATGTCTCTTTTCAGTGCTCAACCAATTCACCACAGACACACTTCGTTTTCAAATCAGTAAGAAATTGAGAAAATTTTTAATTTCTTGTAGATTTGAGGTGCATAAATAATGAGAACATTTCATAGTTAGTTCACTCATTGGTTATCAGCAAAGATATTCTTGGTGAAAAATCAACACACCTCTCGTGCAGCTTCCATGCTCAATCTGCGTAGATCGGCATCGGTACCGGTTACTGTTGAACCTTTACCAACAACTGCCTTTTTCTTCACCATTGTATTTGATACAGGTGCCTTAGGAGTATTACGAACAAAACTGAAACCTAGCCCACGTCCAGATGGATCACCAACACCTGTAATTTCCAAACGTTCAATATTTTCCCTGTCCTGCATCAACAGCAGACATGGGAAAATTCAGTGAAGTCATAGTGCTGAGATTAAGTACCTAAAAAGGTCATTGAAAACAACTTTTGGGTCATATTTCATAGCAACAAGAACTGGAATCCTCCCAATGGATACCATACATAATTTATAAGGTCACTTGTACATCCGTCATATTGTAAAAGATAGCATCTTTAGAAAAAGTACATGACGTATGGATATCATTACCTGATTTGTGCAGGCAACAAAGTTGCTACTCAAGTTCCATGGTGTTATTTGCAGCTCCCTTTCAATATGAGATGCAGCAGCTAACGCAATAGCTTCATCTGGAAGCTGATTCATTGCAGATGACAGGCCTGTTGGTGAAGTTAACCTAGTAATTCCCAACCGCTTGAGCCTGTACAAGCCAGCTTGCATGCTTTCATAGGCACAAACCTATTCTCAGACAAGTGAAAAGGATGCAATTGTTTAAGGACAAAGAATTAGGAACAAAGAGGAAGGTAGAAGGTTAACTAGGAAAAAAAGAAATTGATGCAGCCTTTTAGCGGAAAACAGAATTTTCCCCTATTTTGGTCTTCTATAGCACCCCTGTTCAATAATATTATCATTTGTTGAAATTGATTAGGTTTGCTTCCAACAAGCAGTCATTTTGGTGAAGGTAAATGAATTCCTCCAACATATGAAGAAAACCCATTTCCATCCAGCTTTTCTATTTCATGCACCACAAGAAGTTACCATCTGGAGAAATGAAAGAAGACGGATATATCCATTCTGTCTTGCAGTGGTTTTAAGTTGAATCACAGCATGCTAGCTTGGACAAAACCATATAATATTTACCTTTGAAATTAGAGTGAAAGAAGAACAGGGACATCCTTAAAGTAGAGAGAAGGGAGATTGTTCATTAGCAACTGCTCTTATAATCTGATGACCAGCAGGTGGAAACCAGATTGTAGCAAAATTCTCATAGTCTTAGATGCTTTTTACTACAATACCCACTCAAGTTCTATGAAATGGACACTTGACTGGCTGAAAAACAAGTTAAATACAAACTTAATTTCTCGACTCTGGTCATTGCAGAATTATTGGAAGCCTATTTCCAGACCAACCGCATCAAGGCACGCATTCAAAAGACAAAAGAGGATGCCCCAAACATCAGTTGAGCTGGCTATCCGAATGTTACAAATAAGTAAATAACAGTCAAAAGTAATTGTAAATTCTATCCTAGCAGATAACTGTTGGAATCTAGCAAAGCTCAATTTACCTCGTGTTCAAGAGTGACTCTAATAACACAAGTACAGGTAAAGGAGGAAAAACAAACTCAATAAACAATATATTGCTTCAGGCAAATACAATTAAATCAATTTTAGAAAATCATGTTTATACAGCTTTTCAGTCAATACATCAGCAGATGTGATGGATAGCCTTCCAGGAGAACCGCAAAATCCCAAACTCAACATGTCCCACTCTTAAATGGAGGTTGAACTTCACGATGTTTTCAGACAAAATACCATCAATTTAAAATATAAAGCTCAAAAACAAACATATGATCCACCCCATCACACACTCAACTGGGGCAAACCATTGATCCGAAAACTCGAAAATATCTGTGACAAAACACTCTGATCACATGCAAATACATACATGCAGATCGTATGTTGTATCCTACATGTATAAAGGAAAGGAATATGGATAAAATTTGTTAACTAAGAGCTTTACATTCTCTGGTGTCACCACATCCTCCTTAGTTCCTCCTCCAAAGGAATGCGGAAATTGCGCCTCATAGCCCAAGAAGCTGTCCATTGATCCTCTCTGGTAGATTGCAAATTGAGGTTAACTATGTGCACATACACGACCACAAAGATTAAGAAGAAAAGAAAATAATTCAATGACATATAGCAGCGTCAGTGTGAGCTTCTCCATGCAGTAACGCACTTAGCAATATATTTACCAAAAAATTCTCATTATAGAAAGGTCATATTTTTTCTATTGAAAGAGGATAAAATATACCCATGATAGAGAAGATGCTGTCAACAAATTTCTAGCCTAATGATGCCTAATTCAATGGTACTTGTTACTAATGAATGAAGAAGTTCAAATTCTGAATCAGTTAGCTATCACATAACCTACACAATAGACCATACATGGAATAGATGTACAAATTCACAACTTTCAAAAAGTGAGTAATACAGAGAGTATTGCTAGAGATTAATATCATAGAAGCTGAGTCTTTTAATCACTAACAGTCCAAAGAAAATGACTTAGTTAAGTTACTTCATCTTACAATCAAGTTCTTTCCCTTTGTCAACAAAAGGACACCAGTTTAAAACCTATAATCCTCAAAAACAGGTACGCTATTCCCTTGTTTCCTTGAATTTATAAACCTGAACGTCTCTTTAACTTCTTTTTTCTATTTTCACTCTTCTTTAATGAGCAGAGTCCGGGAGTGGGATTGACGTTGAGGTTGTCGGATTGGTAACCAAATAATTCGATTATATCCGTAAACTAGATTCAAAGGTATAATACCTGCAAATCAGCACAATGTTTTAGCCTTTTCCGAAGAAATGCTTCTGACAGGCTGGGAAACTGTGCAGACAACTCATCAGCGCGTATAGAAGGCCGTAACCCACGCTTCTCAGCAGCAGAAAACTCACGATACATGTACACCATCAACCTGTTCATAATGTATGTTTGAACACTTTTTGATCCAGGAGACATTACCTCGATGTGAGGCTCCTACATAGTTGACATGAAACAAGATAAAATTAAGAATTGAAGTTTTGCTATGATTTTTTAGGTGAAACAAGAAATAGAATTCAAAATGTGCACAACAGAGGTTATTCCCAAACTTCACTTCACTTCTAGCTGTATCGTTCCCTCAGACATATATCAAGCTTTAATAATAAGATAGTCAGATTACAATAACAAAATGAATATAGATGCAATGAATACTTCTCCAGATCACAAAAGCTACAGAAAACAACCCCAAAGTCAATAAAAGAAAATTTCTGGTTTTTCCTTCAACTCATTTAACCATTATGAAAGCCATCAGAAAGCTGCAGCTGAATACAAAGATGCTGAAATCAAAAGCAAGACAAGACAAGACCACCTAAGCAACTTCTAAATCAAGTACTGCACAGAGAAATGATATGAAGTGTGTGACTAATTAAGCTCCAAAGAATTTGTTCTCCAGAAAACAAAATCTGTAGAACTTTAAGACACCTGAAGAGAAAAACAAAACTGATAAAGGCAGAAAAAATCCTTTATCATGCACTTTCTTTTTCTTTTTTCTTTTCTTTTTCCACAACTATACTTATGCTACTACTTCATTTCTTTGCCACTAGACTATATACATTCCTTTCCCCACTCTTCCCTTCATTCAAACCCAACTTGCTCTATCTATGCAAGTACTATGCAGGAATTTAATGATTAGCATTGACCTTGAAGTTGCAGTTTTCTATCCTCTGATTCTTTTGAATCAATAAATTTATATCATTCAGAGCCATATACAGAATTTTCACATCTTTTAAGTATTCATTAGCTACAAACAACCAACTTTCGTAGCAGAAAGAATAACGGGACTTTCTTCTGTACTCCTCTCTCAAAATGGGTGAGACCAGCCTTCAAACCTCTCGTCAACCATGTGCAAGAATAGTTATTCTAACATGCAAACAAAAATTTAAATATGTAGTGGTGGAAGAGGGAACATGAAAGGCAACTCTGTGTGTGTGTGCGCGTGTGTGAGAGAGAGAGAGATATTCCATGTATACAGAGACAAGCAGATCAAACAATTTTCGCACGAGCATGTACCTATGCCTGTCATCAAGCAACAAATCCAAGGTAACACAATAGATTTGGTTGAAATGTAACCCTTCCGAGATATTTAAAGAAAAATAAAAGATAAAGAAAATCTTTTTAACCTGTTGTCCAACAACATCAATCCTGTCAATTCGTCTTATTGAAAGTTTTCCTTTTGCGGTTCGGACCAATAGAAAATCAGCTGATGACACCTTATGCTGATATATAGGTGCTCGATACATATTGGTTTCGAGAGATGATTGACTGCAACCAGGTTTTATGTCCCCAAAAAGGGGATTTATCAGCAGGATCTAGGATTAAAACACTCCCCAATCCGTTATTCCCATTTCGCATTAAGTTCCCTGTTTGATCACCAGGGGCAGACTTTTGGTAGTAAGTGCACAGTCTTGCACCCATTCCCACATTTCCCAGGAGTAAAGGTCTTTCTTCACAGTATCTGCCAGTAACACACCAAAGAAAGAACATCAGAGAGATGCAATTATTTACAGAATTTTATGACATGTCAAACATTTATTGCAAGACACGTACTCTAGAGGTTTCAGCATAGCCAAATTTTACAACTGTTAAAGAACACCCCACCCCAACTTCTCTCCATGCTCAGACCCAAAAAAAGAAAGATAAAATAGTAATCCATTTCACAATGACAAGCCTATATTTAATAGAATAGTAAACCCTCTCCCTGTCAAGGATCCCTATGTAAGGGTTTGACAAGTCTCCATTTTGCGACTTAAACACATCCCATCAGCACAAGCACGAGAAATAGACCTCTGGAGGGCTCCAAGCAATAAATTTGTTTTCAAAGATGAACCCATCAAATAAGGACAGAAAAATGAATGCTCAATCTTTCAATCTTTCCTTCACTCTTAAGTTCTTCACAATGAATGCTTAATAGCAATGCATGTGGCAGAACATGTTTAGAGTTCAAAAACTCCACATTTCCAATTTGGTGTGCTACATTTACGTGTTATGAAACTTATTCTTAAGTTCCAATAGAAGAATCAGGAATAACATACTTAACCATCTTCATATAAGAACCTTGGGAAAACGATGTATTAACTCTTAAACAACCAAGACATCGCACCAATACCTGCATTACTAGTTCTTCCTCCTCCATGACAATTTTATATGCTTAAACCATAAAAAAACAAACCATCACAATTACTCTACAAAGTCTTATAGTGTTTACGAACAGAATGTTAGACAAGGAGGTGGCAACATTTAATATAATGCAAACAGCAACATAATCATTGATTCAGCACCTCAGATATACTTTTCACTATTGTAAACGTGAAAAAAAATTACAGTCAAGGTGAAGACGTATTCTGCCCACAGTTCCAATAAACAATACTTTTATGACCAGATCTTCACATCTAACAAATCACAAGCTGATCTAATTACATGGAATAGAATTAATCTTGACTGAGATTGTTGGACTATCTTTTGTATTCATAAGGGACTGGTGTATAGATGATAAGCAAGAACTTTTAAGACTTACTCCATCAGAAAGACATGACCATCCTTTACTGAAAGATCGGACTTCTTCTTAAATGCCCCAGGAGGACGCAAAGACTTGTTCTCACCAGGATTTTTTGTGCCCTGGGTAGTAAATGGATTTTTGTACGAACAAGGTGCAACAAGGAGTTTGGTCGCACATTTTGTGCAGCAAGAGCCTTGTGGTCTTCTAGCTCCTTTCCAGAATAAACCACTTTCACTGGCTCAGACAATTTAAAATCTACAAGCAAGAGATAAAACATATTTCCATATTCTATAGCAAACGAAGAACAACTAGATTTTAACAACGAAATTTAGTAACATCAGAAGCATAATAAAGTGAGACCTAGTTTCTTTGAAGCTTTAGCTTTAACTGAAGAGATGGTCTCCTCGCCATCCACATGAAGTTTACATCCTTTGCCTCCCAAACTCTTTAATATGACCTTCATAGGTCCTTGCGTAGACAGCTTCTCTTGTTCTTTCAGTGCCACCTCATTATCATGAGGATACCATAAAGCTTTTGGTCGATGGAAATTAGCAATATCTTTACTGAAAGGTACATCAAAAAATTCACAATAAGCAGTAGCAGACTAACACGCACTCAAAGCCATAATACGAATAGGAAACAGAGCATCCTATGCAAGTAGAAGACAAAAATAACCTCACATACTGGATAAGAGATGACATTTTAACAAAAAAAACAACATGAACTAAGACAATAAGTTCAAAAGAAGATTAGAACAGGAAAAGTAGACAAGTAAGAAAACTGACAAAGGGTCAAGATTGGAACTTAATAAGACGATCAACTTGCTGAATAAACAGCCAAGCCTCAAGCATAAAAATTTACACATGTTAAACAAAGTAAAACAGACCATCTATGGTAAAAGAACTACAAAAAGAATATGGCACTCAACCCTTACTTGCTTAGCTTAACTTTCATCGTCTGCAGCTTAAGTGTTGGAATTGAATGCAGAACTTTGAGACCATGAGCTGTACGCTTCTTCATATGTGATTTCACCTGCTGGGAAGATTTCCTATTTGAGTAAAATTTGTCATTTGAGATGTTAAACCTACCTCCTGAAAGACCTCCATGACTATGTAGCTCGACAGAGTCACCAGTACTAGGCTTGACTGAACGGGTTATAATCATAGCACCAGCATGAAGCCTAAGATGCTTACTGTCCTTATTATCTTGAATTTCAAAAAGCATTTGTTCATCTCGGAAATCTAATATCAGCTTCGGCTTTGAAATGGGCTGATTTGAATCCCAAATTATATTGTCCAACCAACCATCCTTCCTGCAGATCTCCATTCTCTAACATGAGCCTATTAAAACGGCTTATGACACCATTACCTAGAACTTTTTCAGAGCCTCCTTCATGTCCAAGGTCAGTATTATTTGGATCATCTTGATCAAATCGAGACTCTAACCTTAAAAGTTGAGGATGATACATTCTTTCACAGTAAGGCAGTTTTGAAGGTTCAGAAAGACTTCCTGAACCAAAGGGCTCTGGTGATATGGAAAAACCATGACGAAAAGGATGTTCATGTTCACAACGTTCTCTTTCAAGATCTGACACCAGAGGGTGAGTATCGGCCTCGAAATTCTTATCACCCAGTACGTCAGAATCAGGTCCAGACATCTCACAACTCTCTTCAACAGGAACTCTGTGCTGAGAATTATCCCAAATTATCCTATCCTCCCAGTTTAGTTGATCAAGAGGGTAAAACTTTGGACAAATAGGTGAGTTCCACTCTGGAGGAAGCATCACTGGCAAATCTTCTTTAAATGGTTCAGAACTCTGACAAGAATCTTTTCTACACTGGTCAACTTCTGCATCAATTTTACCATCTTCCTGGATAACACCAAACTTCCCTGATCCTAAATCATTGTCCATAAATGTTAAAACATTGTGTTGACCACTTGGGCTTGTCTCGTACCAGACACATCTAAGCCGGATCCCTTCAAGAATGTTTCCTCATCTTCTTCAACATTTTCTGGAGTATCCATAGTCTTGAATTTATCTGAAAACATTCAACATGAGGAAAGGACCAATGGCTAAACTGGAAGTCCATAAAGAGATGCATAAGGTGAATAAGTGCAAGTGATTAATATATTACTGCCATAAAATTTATTAGCAGCAATATACTCGAAACATTCAGGTACAGAAAATATATACCTCTAGGAACAGGATATTTGCGCTCCCTTTTGTCAGACTTCTTTAAAGGCTCATAAAGGCCAAAAATTTCTGAAAAACGTAGAATCACCAATCCATCTTCAACACAAAGAATAGGCAGCAGAGTTGAATCGTTGCCCCCAGATGGCTCTTCTAAGCCCACTGGCACCTCCTGATAAATTAGTATCAACTAAGAATGAGGAATATGGCATACTAATAAAAAGATAATCAACAGTAAAGTCTTAGAAAAAATTAAACAGACTAACAACAATATACTTAGAAATCTGAAAGCAGCTAACACCACTAAGGTCAAAACCAATCATGACTTCTGATTCTTTATTGGCAAAAGACGTATGTTAATTCTAACAATTCTACCAATACCATCAGCTCACAAAGCTTTAAATAAAAAGAAAATGTCATACTAATTATCCTCACAGGAGAACAAGGTGTAAAAGACAGTTTTAGCACTAAAGAACATGTCAAGAGTTTGTGTTCCTATCAAATTTAAATACAAGAGGTTTTTCAAAAAAAAAAGAAAAAGAAAAAACTCTATTGGGAACAAGTTGGGGCATATAATACAAACCTCCTCAGAATCTACAATATCAGCGGTCAAGAATTCAGATTCAAGCGCATCTTCAAATGCATCCCCAGATGAAGCATCTTCATCAATCTTTTCCCCTTGAGAAAGGAGGTTAAGACGATCATAAAACATATACTATGGGTAAACCATTTCATAGTTAGGCACTATATCTTTCCAAAAAAACTCCTCATTAGAACCATCAGACTTGAAAAGAGAATATAAATTAGTGCTAAAGGTAAGAACCCAGGATAATAGATCCATACATGCTATTTATACAGCAATCCCAACCTCATATGATCTACGATTAGGACTCTCAATTACCTGATTCAGACGCACATGAAGATTAAAACTGAAAAGAAAAACTCAAAATGACACCTGTGCGTACAAAAAAATTAATCTGCGCTTAAGAGTCAAGTCTGTTTTCTTAAGACTTTACTCCATGTTTACCCTTCAGTAAGTGCAACATTGACACAGATCAAACAACTGCAGAACTGCTATGAAATTTAAATGAAAGGGAAAGCCACATAGCTTTATGATAACATCTTCTGCTCTTAATATAAAAATATCATGGCTGACCAAATATATGGTATATCAATGCTAATATAAGAAATCCATGGTGCATACTACTTCAAAGGTATGACTACTCTTGGTTTATTCAAGGTCTTAGTCATCAACTCCCATTGCATCCTGCTAATATTCACCCTCCACATAAACTATTACCAACAAATAAGGAAATTAATATAAGGTGGCAGTAGCCTGTTTTTTCCGGGCAGATTGTTGATGAGCTAAATGATTTTAAGCAGAATTCAACACCATATCTGACAATTTTCCTGTAGCTTTACTCTCTCTCTCTCTCTCTCTCTATATACACACACACACACACACCTGTTTCTCTCTTCGTGTAATACCCTTGTAAACATGATAGTACTCAGGTCCCCTCTCTCCCTCTCTCTCTGTGGAACGCACTTGTACTCGATACTGTTCAGGTTAACAGACTAACCATGGAAAAAGATTAAATCACAGTGAGTTTCCTCTCCAACGAAGCAGCTTAAGGATTCAAAAGCCACTGAATAGGCAAAGATACATCAACAACAGGGGACCCAGAGATAGAGAAATAGCTAAAACATGATATCTACACCCAAGTTCAATATAATGGCAACAAGAACAGATTTAGGAAGTTCTACAAAAGAAGGAAATGTTGCAAAAGTTATCTTTGTTTCAGTCTAAGAAGCATCCGTAGGTGAATGTTCAAGAGTCAGCCAGGGGTGGAAGTCTATTGGTTCCTCATGGGTGGAAATGTTCAAGAGTCAGCCAGGGGTGGAAGTCTATTGGTTCCTCATGGGTGGATCCATTGGTCAGCCACATAGCAACAGCTCTAGGGGACCGCCTTGGCCACCAGTTGATAAAATAAGGCTGACTAGTTGGTAGACCATTTTACTGTAAATACTGGTGTAAGCCTCTTAATTTGGCATGCCCTGAATAACAAAATTTTCAAATGAGTACCTTCCTCAGTCTCAGGTGAGTCTAATGATCTCTTCTTCCTTTCTCCCTTAGTTCTCTCCCTTCCTACTTTCTAAAACTCTCTTCTTGGCTACAATTTTGACCACCAAACAACTATCTAAACTCTGCAACCCTTCTAATTTCTAGGCAACGCACTTTAGCACTTGAAACACTCTAGCACTAAAAGTCACAGGCACAAATTTCCAGAAAAAGGACTTCCATGACACTCTAAGAAAGAAAACATTTGACATTAAAATTTCAGAAAAGTATTAATGCAGAAAACTGGACAAACCAAATTACAGAGACGTGTCAAGAATGTAGCAGAAAATATGCATAGATTACTAATCAAACACCATTGTTGCGGCTTACTATAGGAAAATTTAAATTAACTACCAACTTCAATACTAGCTTGTTCCTAACACTAGAAAGCTTCTAGACTTAAGTCTATAGTATGAAAGGAGTCGTATCATCAACATGGCATTAATGAACAGAAGCTGACCAAAAACTCTTGTTAAGATTGACGAATTTTAAATAGACTCCATTTCTAGGCACATATTATCATATGTGCCTGCACTATCCACACCCCCAAAGAATATCACACTGCATACACCCATCCCTCCTCTGGACATTAACTTTCTATATACAGCACATTGTCTTCAACCAGGTGATACAGTAGTTTTTTTTTTTTTTAAAGTTTTTGGCTCAAGAACTGAAAAGCTGAAATGAAATGCCAATTTATGGGTATTGGTACCTTAAGCAACACAAGGGTGCTGCGGAAGTAATACAATAGGAAAGTACATGATTACCTCATAACCAGAGAGTTCACAAAGCTGAAAAGCACTCGGCCAAGAGGGAGTCATCAACACTACTACAGTACAAGAATCAAATATCTATATCCGCTCACAACAACTTCTTGTGCTTCTACCACTGAAGGAAGACATACTACTGAGCACTAAACCCATACCTGGCAACTTTATTAGCAAACTTAATGTTCCTCTTTTAGCCATTAATCCACCAACTACATACTCAAAAACGACTACATGCAGGGCCTTCTCAGATGAATAAAGAGAAACAGCTAAGCATTTAGTTTCTAAGCCCCCGAAAAAAAAACCTGGGACAAATTAGACTCTAATATTCACATTCCGACATCAAGAAAAAAGACAATCTAAACTATAAATAACTAAAAGACAGCATAAAGGCATATCCAAATCCTTTAAATGCAACACTTAAAAATTGATAGATTGACAATGATTCATAATTAAACCTGCTGAAAGTATGGATTTCACTTCAATATTGCTTTCTGCCACCTCGTCCTTCTTTTCTGATTCATCATCCTCGTCATAATTTTCATCATCAAAGACAGAATTGATATTCCCCAAAGTACTCATTGATATTTCTTTAGAAAAATAGTCCTTTCTTGGCAACAAAAAATCCTCTTCTGTAGCTGCTTGGACCTCCGGCCCTTCATATTGCTCCTCAATATCTTCATAATCAACAGCATCTTCTGCCTTTTTATCATAGTCTAGTTCTCGCAAACAAGAAGAACAGGAAAAAGCACTAATCAGAATCCATCACACTCAGAAATGAAATATTGTGCTCACCACAGTAATCAAACCCAAATTGGCTACCAATGGAGTTATGAAATAGTTATCTAAGATACATGCAGCAGAATACAAGAATATTATTATAACCCAAGTGCATTTCAGCTTGGAAGCTATCATACATATATCTACCAAATGAAATTTTACTTTTATAAAATCCTTGAATTAATACAGAAGAAAAACCTTATGGAAAAACACCTGATCCACAACAAAGCAGAAAATGCATGAGACAAAAAATTAAATTAAAAAAAGATGATGACGAGCTTTAGATACTCTGGAAATCAAAAGTGAAAGACAAACCCCAAGAACTTAAGGGATGAGGATTTTGCAGTTAATTGGTCAACCTCTTACT